CTTTATTTTCCTCTTTGTTACTTAGCATGGTCTCTGTAGTTATTACTTCTCCTTTTTAGAAGCGAAATCAGATTAATAATATAATATAAAACTAAATATAAATAACTATTACCTTTTGACATACTTTGTGCCAATTTCAGCTTTTTCCGCGCAATCGAACTCATATCATTAGTAGAAATGTGAAAATTTTCGTTCTTTATCAGTCGACTATTTCTTCCAAACTATAGTATGCTATGTATACTTACACACACAAACTACTTTTTGAAGTTCGGGGAAAATCATGCTAAGTGAACTTACAAACACTAAAAATAAAATAACGACAATGCCAAGTATACATAGCGAACTCGTCATAAAAAAAGTCCGTGCTGTAAAAGTTCCAAGCCGAAATATGCTAAGTGTACTTACCACATTATGGAATGGAAGTTTCTTAAATCTTACGTGCCATGCCAAGTACATTTTTGCTTATAACTTTGGTTTTGATTGGTCGATGATTACCAACATTTCAGAGAATTTAAATTAAGGACCGTAGTATCTAAAAACGTAAAGAACATTAAAACATGCTAAGTCGACTTAGCATACTATGGTTCGGAGGCGTCGAATTGTGTTGTAGTTACATCCTTTTGTTTCAGAAAATATCAAGTCAAAAATGACGTAACTGACATAAAATCTTTAAAAACCAAAGAAAACAAAAAATATTTTTTTTTTCAAGAAATAAATACGGCTCTATAGTGCGATTAAACTTTGGAAAAATTTCCACCCATGCTCCATTTTTATAGTTTTTGTAACGTTTTTTGCTTCTCCTGTAAAATTAGTAAAAGTGTAATTACGTCCGTTTGCATTTATGATGACGATATATACATTTCGTTTGACAAATAGGTCACAAAAAGGATGTTATTATTAGTTGGTGGACATGTTATCCATTCCATAATTATAAGAACAAGAAGTAATTAAATTATATGTATTTTAGTGTCAAGTAAATACTTTAAATAAATTAAGAAAAAAACTTTTAAGAATACTTAAGATAACATTTTGCCTTCATCTTTGCTACAGCCTTTAATCACAAACAAAAATATTTATTGGTTTAAAATTTGACTGTTTTATTAAAATCTCAACGAAAATAAAGTAACGTACAATGGTATCTGTTCTGTATAACGACATTTGATTCTTTGTATTTCTTTTTAACATTAAATATATACTCTTTATATTTTTATAAATTTTCAAATTTGTATCTGTTGTTTGATTTTCTTCTTTTTTTATTTCGTATTCTTGGCCAACGAAATGTGAATTACTTGGTGTTGAAATGACTGAATTTTTATTTATTTGTTTTAAAAGGTATTTTAGTTTAATAGTTTCAGGTTTATATGAAGTAGTTATCTTTGTGTAATTCTATTAAGCTAAATTTATCTAAAAAAAATTCTACAAAAATACATACATTTACATATACATACATACATTCATAATACGTTTGAAGAGACATTAAGCTGAGTTAGATATGTATGTTTACTATTAGGGATTTTAAGTAGTTTTACAGTTGCAACTGTGGTATCCTATCATATTCTAATTGTAATAATCATCAGACATTACTAACGGAAAAATATTAAATTTTATAAAGTAATAGGTGTGGGCGAGAAATGACAATTTGGAGGGAATTCCATAGATATGTCGAGGATAATTATAGTTTTCCTATTTCCCGACAAATTATTCACAATCCATGTTTAATGCAGACTCTTTAACAAGATATACGGAAAAAACTCTGGTAAATAGCATCAAAATCTGTTGTTAACATGCAAATGTGAAATATAAGAAGGGAATTATCTGTACATGCTAATAAAAAACAAATTTGGACAGTGTGTCCAGATGACAATCGTTTTTTTTTTGTTAAACCTTATACTCATTGTCAATACTGACATTTATCGACCACTAACTATATAGTTTGGTATTTTGTAAGAAAATTTGACGTCGCCTTGAATTATCGTCGCTGTTTTTGACTCTGATTTTATCGTCGCTGTTTTTGATTTCGACTTGAATTTATTTAGTGTTTATACCCTTCACTACACTGTGGTACAAGATATTATGTCTTTGTGTATATGTTTGTAACAGGCAAAAGGAATCGAGATAGACCCATGGTTCCATTTGAGAATATGAGTTTCTGAGTCCGTCCGTCCATGTAGTTTTGTGAACAAAGTACGGGTCGCATTTATGATCCGATTTGGATGAAATTTGGCACAGGTCACTTTTTTGGCTCAAGGATGAAATTGGAGAAAATCGGTTAAGATTTAGATATAACACCCATATATAATTCCGTCTGATTTTATGTAAATGGTGCCCCGAACTCCAAATATTGGTCCCATTGGGACAAAATTTTTCATAGAGTACTGAATTAGGTCTAGATTTTATGTAAATGGCGCACCGAGGAGTCTATGTTTGTTTTATATTCACGAAAAGTAGCAGCGGGCATGAAATTTAGCCTAGAATGTTTTTTGTTAGGTTTGAAATCGGTTCAGATTTAAATATAGCTCACATATATACTTTAGTCCCATTTTATGTAAATGGTGCACCATAGATCCTGTTCTATTTGCAAGATATTTTGTTGTTGAAATCGGTTCAGATGTAGATATAGCTCCCTTGTATATTTTTATCCGATTTTATGCAAATGGTGCACATGGAGGAGCCTATGTCTCGTTCGCTTTACATGAAATATTACATAGCGTATTGGGCAGAAGACGTTTCGGGTAATTTCGATATATCTTCCATATATATTTTCATCCGATTTCATCAAAATGGTGTGGGAAATAACTAAAGTGTGTCCGCTTAGGACGAATTAGTGCACGTCTTACCAAATCCTAACCAACCTTAAAATATCGGTTGCTCAAATACGTCCATTTATATATAGATGTTGTACATACAGTGAGTGTAATCAGTATTTTGCCTCAATACGAATTTGACAAAATTCCAATATATACGTCAAAATCCAGCATAAATTGAATTATGTGCGATGGAATATATTTGTGGACATATTTAGATCTTATTTCTGCAAGAATCACTGCGAAAGTTATATTGGTCTACAAGATATCGGCTAAAATCTATAACAACCCAAAAATGTTTATCACAAAAAAGTATATAACTATAACTATCATTAAGGATAACCATATATTATAAGCGATTCGGTGACGATTTCAACAAACTGCGGAATTTTTTTCGAGAGTATTTTCTTACATTTAACTTCAATACATTCTCCAGCAATATTTTATGTCACATTTAGTCATTTCAGAACTGTTAAAGATAAAATTTGACAAACAAATTATTTAAAAAAATATTGCGAAACCCCATTTTTCTGAATTCGAAATCGGTATGGTGCATTAATATTGATCTAGGAACCAATATATGTGATAAAAATACCAATAAGGAGGTCAGATTCAAAAGGGTATCATGAACTTTCCTTGCTGTTTTTTACTAAATATAAAATAAACATTAAAAAATCCCAAAATAAATTTGAAAACAAAAACATCAAATGTTCATCGATTTCTATCACAAATGGTCATTTTGATAAAAATTATGTGACTTTTCGTGAAAGTTGTAAAAAACTATATTTTCCGTTTCACAAAAATAATATCAAAGTGGATTTTGTGTGCCCTTTTTAAACATTGAATGGAATAAACCATAATTTAGTCATACATATTCAAAAGCTCATTCATTCCTATTATTTTAAAACATTTTTGAAAAAAAGCATAATTCTACTGTAGATACTGCAGAAAAAATTTAATATTGCTTTATATTTGTTCTTTTATGTTCAAATTGTTTAAAGTTCAACATTTTTACACAATTCCCAGTATATCCTGATTTAGATTAGGCGAGTTTGCTTGCGGCAATTCTTATCGTTCACTTTTGAACTTGCTTCATGCGGTTGCAAACATATATTTTCTGAATTGAATTATTTTTTCTGAAATGACACTACAAACAAAATACACAAAACAAATTGCCAGAAAATTGTTGGTACGAGCAATTTTTTCCATGTCCCTCTCTCCAGCATACAAAGACTTGCCGCAAGTAAACTCGCCTAATCTAAATGGGGACTATTACCCATTATTGCTCTTCTATAAGAATACTTCATTAGAACTTCCCATTTTGTGTCAACTATGCTCGCCGTATATTTTGATCAAATTTGGATTAGGATTGAAAAGTAATTTATAGTTTCCCACTTTCTAATAATATCCTCGTAGTGCATTCCATTTTAAAAAAGAAGGAATTTATAATTTCCTGGTTTGACAATGGAAAAATAGCAAATTTCTAACATTCCACTAAATTTATATACTTGGGCTTCTGTAATTTATTTCACAATGAATAAATAGTTGTGCAACTGTAAACCTACAAATACTACAATACCATCCGTATAAGCAATACAACATAATAATAATAAAAAACATTTCTTAATCATTTCGATAATAATTTAATATACTTAGAAATATAATAAATGGCAATAGAAAGCTTTTGACATAATAATTACTACAATATTCATACATACATACATAATAAGTACAACAGACATACAAATAGTACAGACTTAGATTATTATAAAAAGCACAATTACGGGCGCACATTTAGACAATCCATTTTAAAATTCTTACATTTTACACTACATTGCATAAGTATAACTACGTACATACATACAGTTTAGCTAATAACTAAATATAATGGTCTTTTTTCTCATTTTCAAATACGATTCAATCGATGTGAATCATCTGGGATGATTTCAATAATTTGTATGTCGTTATGCGACTTTGAGGTTGACATGCTGCCAGGGATATGGCAAGACTGGCCGAATGTCCGATCATACAAATATTTTGTAACCACCGAAAATATACATAAGTACTAGTTTTTGTTTGTTTTTGATTTGTTCGTATTGTTTATGCACATTATTGGGATTTTTGTACAAAAATAAAAAATAAACACGAATGAACAATTAATTAACCGTTGTTGCTGTTGTTGTTGTTGTGACTAATGACACGATTTAACCTAACCTAGAATCTATTTACAATCGATAGAAATTGGTTGCTATTTTGTGACACAGCTCGGTCGATCGGTGCATCGGTTGCCGCCGACGAGGAAGAAGAAGTAGATGCTGAAGAATTGGAGACAGACGATTGTGCCGAGATGCCGAGAACGGAGGAAAGTTTCAATAAAAATCAGCACATTGTCTCATTGTAGGGAGGATCCTTCTCCGATTCAGTACTGCTTTTGATGTTCGACGAAAGTTTAGCGATTTCGTCCTGCACGAGATCGGTACTTATTTGCGGTATGACCATGCCGGCGGTTGAGGTGGATCCGGCCGCCGAATCACCATCTTTGGATTCTTCAGTGCTCGAACTGCTCTCCTTGAGAATGTTCATGCCGAGTTTACTGGAAAGCGGTGGTTTCAGCGAGGAAAGCAATTTGGCAGGGACCGTTGATGGCAATGCAGCACTACCACTGTCACTGCCACTTGTGGCAAGTCTTGGCGGAGTCGGAATGGGCGATGCACTAGTACTTTCAGTCGTGGGCGTTTCAGCATGTGATATGCGTGTTGTGGGTGGTATAGGTGGAGGTTGTGGCTGTTTGCCCTGGTCCAAGCTAAACTGTTTCTTCAGCTGCATAGCTCGCGGCGGAGGTTGCACCTGCCCAATTATTGTCGTTGTTCCCAAGTCTGTGGATGTCGATACATCTTCGCTGGGCCGTTTCATATCTGAGGCACCCATCGAAGAGGTACGCAACGGTTGATAACGAGCCGAGGTGCTTAATGCGCCACCACCGCATAGGCTAACACCGCTTTCGAGCACTGTTGTCGCATGGGCCGGGGTTTGGATGTCTGCAGCGTCTAGAGATGGCTCCGCCGTTAATGAGGGTGTATCGATGTTGTAGGAACCAGTCATAGAGGTGGTCGTTTCATTTGAGCTTTGCTTAATAAAGCGATACGGATGGGCAGAATAGTCTGTGTCTGTGCTGGAATTCTTCTGTAAACTTTCGCTAGACTTTTTGAAGAGCCGCCCGGTACTTTCATAGGGGGGATTGAGGAATTCACTTGTGGCTCGTTGGGGAACAACTGGTGACTGATATGTCTGCTGTTGTTCCATTGAAGCGTTTCGTTGCCACAGTCGTTCATTTTTCACTTGAAAACCTGCAGCGGCACTTGTATCGCTGCTATCTCCGCCAATTACCCCACCACCAGCTGGTGGCTTCGATGGTGAAAGTTCAACGGCTGTTTCGCGTCGCAGCGGATGTCGATGACTGTAATCAATGGAAATTCCCGCCTAAAAGTTTTCGAAGATTATACAACATGTCCGTATGTATGTTAATGTGTATATACTTACTTCATATGAATCATCAGTATCATCGATAGAAGCACGCGCCTGAAACAGTCCTTCAAGGATTTGATAATCACTTTCCTCGCACTCTTTCAAATGTTGTTTTTCTAGCAAAGCAGCTGCCTCTGCTTTTGACATTTCCGTTTTGGGTCTATCCAAGGATGCTATAATGGGGAACATTCGGATGTTAGTAGAATAAGGTTACATACAAATATACGGGTGCTCATAATGTATGTATGTAAATTAATATTTACAAAAACTAAATGATTGCAAAATTTACATTATGTACAGTCATGTGCACAAACTTATTTAATATTCAATTCCCAAATTGTGATAGTGTTTATTTTTGAATGACTTCATCGTTTCTAAAAATAGTGCTTAATGGCGTCTCGATTTGGGATTTTTTTAAGAAATTATTCTTTTAAGATCATATTATGCAATAGAAATTCGTGAAAATGTGATTATTAACGACATTGCTAAGATCTACAACATCATACAATATATCCGGGTCCTACGTATATTTCTCAATTCTTTGTATCTGTTCCGCATTAGCCGATTGAAATCTAGTCCAGAGGGTATTGAATAGTTATGAATCATGGGATTATAGTCATGACTTGAACATTTTACACACAGCTTGTTTGCACCACAGGTGTGTCTTGAATCATGACTTCATATCGAAGTGTTGTACAATTAAAAATAATATTTCAAACAATTGGTTATTTAATAATGATCGTGGTTTTGTTGTCGTTTGTTGTGCAAGTATATCTAGGGTGAATACGTCGAAGACAACAAAATATATATTCATGAATTAATAAATACAAAATTCATGATATTTTTGGACAAACCCCATGTTGACCTGTCCTCGTATCTGTTTTTTTAACTTAATGACATGTTGAAGTCCACGCGAATTTTTTCGTATGTACGTGGTTTCCCTTTTTATAAATGGACAACGAAATTTACTTTCAGAACGGATAAATCTCCAAAAATAAAAGTTGCTGTATCAAAACAATGACTGTTACCTGTTGATTTTGTTTTTATCTATCTCTGTGCAACTATGATGTAGAATATGTTTGTAACTTAATAACAATCTCTATTTTTTTTTTTTTTTTGAGTATACATTTTGTTCATAAACTTTCAAATGGGCTTCGGGCAGATTAATCTGTCTGCAATTAAATTGTTAGTTTTTGGTTTACAACAATTATATTTAACATCATACATCAAACACTTCATAAATATGTATATCCTCGGGAAATCGATTGAATAATGATTATATAAACACATGTGTACAATATCGAATACTTACTCTTGTGACTTGGCAATGACACCGTGGGTGAGGCAATCATATGGCAAACACTCTCTAATTCATCCGTAATCGAAGTATATTCGCTATGCAATTTCAGGAGAATATTTCTCGAAGGTTTTGCATGCAGAACAGATTTTCCTAAATTGCATTTGGTAGTTGTTTGTGGTTCACAAGAAAACCAAGGGTTTTCGTTGCGATTGGAAAAAATAAAATTTTAATTTCAAATACAAAATTTTATACAAAATTTTACACGGAAATGCGATCGAAAGTGAGGGAGGGGAAGGATGATTGAATGAATGAACATTGAGGACAACATAGGGGAGAAAGAGAGTCAGTCACCACACCGTTACTTTACAACATATAGCGAGAAAGAGAGAGACAGATAGTGAACACAAGGTAACATATCCAAGTCAGGATGTTTGCTGGTTTTACTTGGTAGGAGATGGCCGAAAATCTGAATGGGATGTGTTACCGTTGTAAGGTGGAGGGGGAAAAGTACAAATGAAATCGGGGGTTCATATTAGAGGCTATCTACGTACCTGGTGCAACCTCCTTATCGCTGTCCGGTTCAGAGTGTGTCAAACTCATCTGGCGTCTCGATAGGTGTAATTGATTCAGACTTATGTGAGAGCGGCTAATGTCGCCGATTATTGAGCATGTCTCAGAATTTCTGCGACATAAGGAAACCGTGCGTTGACGCATAGCTCGATGCCTGGCAGCTACATGACATACAACACGATAGATAATTTTTATATAAAAATACAGGCTAGAATACCACTTGCTTACCTTCGAAGTTTATATCTGGTCCCGTTTCATCAGAAGTTTCCCCAACAAGTGTCTGGTCATCGTCATGACCCAGGGGTGTAAGTGTATCTTTACTTTCGGTACTTGCTCCAGTGTCTTGTCGGACAGTTACATAGGGGGTTCGTTTCACAGTTTCGCATGTTGAAGGTCGTTGTGAGAGTGGAATATAGATATCAGAATCGGATTCCGATTGTACCGATACTTTTCGAACCACCTGGTCATTTAAAGCTTCCCGCGATTTGACAACCTCGTCGGGTTCTTCTGGTACAGGTACAACTTCAAAGTGTGTGCCGTCATCAAAGATATACGCATCTGGTCGTACTTCAGTAAGGGAACGATTAAAGCGTTTCCTATTAGTAACCTGCAATAGAAGAAGTTATAGAGATGCCAGGCAAAGAAAACGCAAAAAATCTTAATACCTGAAGGCTATGCTGACCAGATGCAAGACCACCACCACCAGAACTACCACCACCTCCGCCAGTTCCGCCACTGCCAGCACCTCCACTACCAGCTTCGTTGTCTGACATTGAAACAGTACGAATTCGCTGCAAATCTCCAGGGCCAATATTCATGTTAGAAGCATTTATATCCTCTTGTCCCATGTGCATAGACATGAAGCGATGAATGACAGCTAAATGACTTAATATTTGCTCAGAAGATTCTTCCATTTTGCGTATACGGAATTCAATATTCTGCAAAATGGGTTAAAAAATAGAAACATACTTGTTCGATAAATTTGTACATATAAATCGTAATGTATAAAAATGTATTGATAAAAATTAGATACGTGCTAACATTTGACAAGATTTTAAGCAAACACATTATGGTTTCAAAAACTATTATTTGAAGAAAATTCATACGATAGGAAATATCAATACTATTTCGCTTCCATAGTCGTGACACATACATTATGCAATAAGATATTGATTTTTATTAACAATTAATTTTAGGAATTATGTAACAGTTCAAGGTTAACGTTGTGGTTTGTTCCCTTATTACAAATTCATCCGTTCTTAATTTTTTTGTTTACTGCTATGATGGGTCGTAATCAGATTTTTTTTAATTTTTGAATTCTCCACAAGCATAATATTATTTGCCAGCATAAAGATGGCCCAGTCTCATTTTCACCCCCTACGAACCCAAAATGCCAAATTTTATACCTTTCGATAGAAAATGATGCTAAAACGTTAAAAATACATAAATACATATTTTCAGAATTTGCACAAACCCAGCCTTATCTCACACAATCGAGCCTAAAGCTACCCACATACAACATTTCAGGATCTTAGCTTCTGCCGTTTCTTCTGGGCGATGATTATTAGAAGTGGCCATTTTAGCACTTTTCGTACCCTTATAGTAGGAATTTCCAAAATTCCAGCCTTATCACACACGTATGTGCTAATATTGACTCTCACACAAAATTTCAGGATACTAGGTTAACTCGTTTCGTCTTAGTGTTGATTGACATGTTCTAAATTTTCGATAAATAACTACTTTGCTTGAACCCTACTAGTTCGATATAACTGTATTTCACTGTATGTGCTATCCTGATCCAGAATACATATACTTCATTGGATGTTTGACGAATATTTTAGGGTATTGCAAAACGAAATGACAAATGTAATAAACAAACCCACCTTATGGTGGAGAATGTAAAATGCCTTTAAATCGATTCAATATTTATTATTTGGTTACATCGATGGAATCGTGTCAACTTTCCATCTCACCAAACTTGACTTGACTAAACTTGAGTGTTTGATGCAAATCTGCCCCATATGAAATTTCATTTCAATATCCATGTCACACGGAATGACATAAAAAAGTGACATTCGACAGAATCATTATCCTATATCAACAAAACAATGACGTACAAAAATTCATTTGTGTGGTTATGTTTGACATTCGTGACTCACCTGAACTGTGGCCGTTTGCAAATTTTCCTTTTGATTAATGTCTTCGATTTTCTGGGCCATTGTTTCCACACGTTCCGTGGTATTCTTGACGCGTTCTTCAGTCGACTGGTTTAGGATTATCTCTTGCTCGTGGAAGAATCCCTCCACACACTCCTCTTCAAAGTCGTACAGACGTTCCAAATCGTCCTTTTCCAGGAAAAGCTTCAGACCGTTGTCCCGTTGAACTTCCAATCCTGTGTTGTTTGATGTTAGATGATCACAGACAAAGGATGACATCCACGACACGTAAAACAACATGACGATGAGAGAGAAATAGGACAAAGGGAATGTGTGAATGAGCGAACATTTGCAATGGCAATGGAGGGAGAATGTATCCCATCATAAAACATCAACGAGCGATTATTTCGTTTTACAAAAATAAGGTAGCCAAAAACATCCATTAATGAAAGAAATAGAACGTTAATAAAAAAATATTTATATTTACAGTGTTAGTAGTTATTTAGTTAGTTACATATGTATACATTATAGCGATTATGTTAACAATATGCATTGTTCAATGAGTTGGCATTTCCATCGAGTTGAAATTTTGATTTTTTCCAAAAATCATGTCAACATTATCGTCATCACAATTGGGTTAGTAAAGTTTTAGTTTGTTTTGTTAATTATGAATGGCCGATTGATTGATTGATAGACAGATTAATTGTTGTCAGATATGTATCGTGACAAACACACGTACACACGCGTACATGTGTGATGAAATGCAATATCGAACGAATTGTTGCGAAATCAAGGAGAACGCAACGCAACGTATCATGGCGATATGTTTTGTTTTTTTGTTTTTTCATAGACGAAGACGACAACAACAACACACAACAAGTGCAACAAAATGCAATGCAGACACATAAAAAGTAAAAGTGGAAAAAGTAAACATTATTGGTTAAATTTGTTTAGGAGCTGATAATAAAAACTCACAGGGAATAAAACTTAATTTTCTCATCCCTCTCTCACCTTTGGCTTTGCGTATACAATACTTGAGCAGCGAATAGAAATGACAGAAGGCAATAAAGGGCGGCGGTAGAACGGGTTTCTGTTGATATTCCATAACGACGGTGAAGCGCTGAAACATCCACACCTAGCAGCACCGAACAAAACGATCGATCGACCGAAAGAAATTCAGAGAGCATATCGTTAGTTTCAAGTTTAATATTTAATTCAGTAACCTACCTGATGGGAAACTGAATTGACTTCGTTGAAGATGTTATTGAAAACGGCAATCAAAAGATTGATCAATAAGATATTTGCTATCAACAAATACATTGACATTGTAATCGGTGTTACCCAATGACCTACAAGAAAACAGAATAAAATGTGCGTTAAATATTAAAAATACATAAATATTATTTTAAAAATAACAAGTAAAAAGTGTAAGTGTGTTGCCGACAAATATATACCCTTAGCCTATGGTTTGCGGAGGTCTAAGGAATTATTGCCTACGAATTACTGTCCAGATTTTTACTTGAAAATTTTAATTAGTGTAGGTTCGAATTAAATAAACAACTTCGCGTTTGCCCGATTTAAGGGGGCCCAATGACAAACCCTTTTGAAATTGGAGAAAAAAAATAAATACATAAATACATTACGATTTTTTACACTTAGACACACTTTGATACGGCAAAAATGTGCCTCATCGAAATAATTGTTTTAGACCCCATGTTTCTTTTTACCAAAATCGTTTCAAACAATTTGGAGCCGATTTACAAATGTCATTGGGCCAAGTAATTTAATTTCATTCGGATAATAAATGCGGCCTGTATTTTGTTTACAATTTTACATGGACGGGCATGGATAGATCAATTCAGAAAGTGATTCTATGCAAATTCACAAAAGTAACCATGGGTCCATCTCGTTTCCATTTGCTTTTTACAAACATATGTACAAAGACATAATAATATTTAATACCAACATACACTAATTCAAGAATGTCTTTATAAAATTTTAAATAAAAATCTAAACACATCTTGAAATATAGTCGATTTATTGTGTTAGCATCAAGTGACGGCAAGAGTGATTTTCAAACTTTAAACGCGTTTTTTTTTTTCGAAACATTGTTTTCGCAACTGGCAGGCACGATCGCAACAAAACTACTAATCCAATCACTTCCAAATTTTGATATGTTACTCTGTGAGTATTTATCTGTCGTATGTACTAGTCAGTGATCCTAGTTCATACGAGAGCCAGTGAGTGTGAGGAGTTACCATGCCCGCCTTCAATGGTCTTATTTGTCTACAGTTAACCTAAAAAACTCACACTTTTCTAGAAACATTAAAACTTAAATATCATAACAATATATCCTCGACATAATTCGCATTATATAGAATATTATTCAAGCCACTGCTAATTTACCAATGACATAGCAGCTATTTTTTTATTATTATTAATTGGAATTGTGTTAATATAACGAACCTGTAACACAAGCCGTTTGCCCTGGATTTTCTCCGCATGGTGGATCAATGTCATCGGCAAACACTTCACCATACAACATGAAGTATGGCTGATAGGTGACCTGGAAGAACAATGAAAATATTGTCAATTTAATTAATTAATATATGACACATGCACTTGCTGCACACACAGTGACACACACAGATACACACACCGACATTTATAAGTATGCAACACAGAGGATAGGAGTTTGTATGACAAGCAATTGAGTTTTATTTTATTGTTTTATATCTATTGTCGTTAAAATTTAAGCTATTTTACATTTATTATTTATATATCTTTGACAGATGGTCTTGACAGCAATGCTATACATTTTGATATGCGTTTCGAGTAGAGTGGGAGAATAGGCTAAAAGCAGGTACTCTAACTTGTATTGAAAAATAGAAGAAAATCGTTGTCGAAGAAAATATTTCCTTGTAGTTTGGAAATGTTCGTCCGAAATTTAATATCTTCATAATGTTAACCATTGCTGATTTGTAAATCCTTAATTTGCTTTATTAAATAATACAGAGTAGAGTACATACACATTCATTTTATATTATTACACCTATATATATATATATATATACATAAATATATGCTATCACATATAATATACAACCGAACACGTTTGCAACAAACTGACTTAATCTCTTTTTTTTTAAATCAAACGGTAAGAGAAACTTTTGTTCGATGTTTGTGCGGAATAGCCATGTTCGACTGTATACTTACACAAACCTAGATTAGAAGTTTCCAATCATGCATTATTATTTGCTATAAAAAATCTAAATTTGACACTTAAACTAGATGGGAGTAAACATTTAGTTGGCCATCGACTGGGCAATATATTTGAGAAAAAGAGACAGGGGAAAACAAAAATCAAAGATGAACTAAAATGGCAGTGGCTGGTTAGGAAGGCATAACTACAACGAGATAACGTTCCAAAAGCTCAATAGGATTAAACTTAATAAATGCAACTTAGATACTTCCGTAGTCTTTCAAGTCAAAGAAAAAAAATATAGTTTAGAGTTAGACCATTAATTGTCGCATAGGACTTAAATAAGAAGTAGAAGATAAATTAGAAATAGAAAGTGGAAACTGAGGTGGGATAGAGGAGTATCACGATGCTAGTACAACATCAAATATTGGGCCAATATATTGGCTATCATTCCAAGAAAAATAGTATGCGGTAGAGGCACTTCTTTACGTTCGACAACTGTTGGCCGGTGAGGTTGTTTAAAAGTTCAGATCTCTGTAGGATCTGACCCGATGTTGTGGCATGATGAAGTGATGACGTAGAATTTGCATGTATGTTTGTTGTAGTGCTTGATGTTGCCGTCGAATGAGCACGGTGGTATGATGAGGAGTGGCCACTTCCAGTTGGATCTCGAGCATTGTGTGCGCGACTACCATGACCGATTGCTCCCAAAAAACCTGGTGCCACAATGGAGCCTGCGATTACCTATATATATATATATATGTGTTCGTATGTGTGCGTGTGTGAATTTCATTTAAGTCGTCCATCATTTTTCACAATAAAATTTACATCCAACGTAAAAAGAGAAACACGTGAGAAAGTTTTAGATACACCACAATGAGAATTTGGTTTGCATTGTTTTTTGTTTTTCAATGAAATAAAGTGACGTCGATTGAATACCATAAGATAGGAAAAAAGAGAGACATAAAAGATAAAAAACAAATTTGTTATTTATTAATTTAAACGCAACGAAATATATATTTTTCATTTGATATGATTGAATATCAAGGAGATTAATGCATCTAGATTAATAAAAGGAAATTCTCAATGAATTGTGTATGTACTCCATTAATGGTATATTCTACTATCTTAAATATAATTTTACAAATTTATAAATATGAATGTTATACATAGAATGATCTAAGTGATATTTTAGTTTAGCAAAAATAGAGTAACGTATACAAAATCAAAAGTAGGATAGGTAAGATATGGTTGAAGAGTGGCTGTAACAAAAACATTTATTTCGAAAAGTATAATTGAAAGTTTTTAAAATTTGTGGAATAGAATATTTTAATTATTACATCGTCTGGAAATCTCTTCAAAATTATAAGTGTAAAGTTTGATTTTATTTGTCAAGGCCAATGACATGCAGAGAATCGAAATGTTGGAATAATATATACAGTGAGTGTAATAAGTATTTTGTCTCAATAAAAATTTGAAAAAATTCCAATATATACGCCTAAAGCCAGCAAACTAAAGAAGTAAAATGAATTATGTGTGATGGAATATGTTTGTGGACATATTTAGATCGTATTTATGCAAATCATTGCGATAGACCTATTGGTCTCGAAGATATCGGCCGAAATCTATAACAACCCAAAAATGTTTATCACAAAAAAGTATTTTGCTTTTTAATATTATTTTAGAAAAAAATATTACAAAAAACACGTTTGGTTCTTTTATAGTTACAATTGCGGTTAACCACATACTATAAGCGATTTGTCGACGATTCCAATACATTTTTTCGTGGGTATTTTCTCACATTTACATTTAATACATTATCCATCAGTATTTCATTTAATATTTGGTATTTTCTCGTCCTAATCTTAAGATAAGAGTATTAAACATAGTCATTGCGGCTTCAAAACATCCCAAATATGTTTAGAATAATAAAAAAGAGGTTTTGCAAAATATAACGCGAGGACAGAACCTTAAAAACTATTAAAACCAAAATCCGACATACAAATTATTGAAAAAAAATTCGCGAAACCCAATTTTTCCGACTTTGAAAATTGTATGGTCCAGTAATATTGATCTGGGAACCAATATATGCAATGGAAATACCAATAATGAGGTCAGATTCAAAGATATGAACAGTTCTAAAGCAATAGTAATAAAAAACAATACATGAAGTTGGGAGAAAACATCATTATTCGTCAAATCCTATTGTCTTTTGAAAAACTGTGGTTGCTGGTGGCGAATACACATTCTATATTTTATCTCCGATAAACACCATCAGTTGCGAATAAAATGCAGTAGGGAATAAACGGTTCGATCTATTTCTTTTCGAAATAAGATGTATTTATATTGCCAGAAAAACGTCCATATCTTTGAATCTGACCTCCTTATTGCTATTTTCATAGTATATTTTGGTTCCTAGATCAGTAATAATGAACCATAAAGTTTTCGAAGTTAGAAAAATGGGGTTTCGCGATATTTTTTAAATAATTTGTTTGTCGGATTTTGGTTTTAATAGTTTTTAAGGTCCTGTCCTCGCGATATATTTTGTAAAACCTCATTTTTATTATTCTTAACATATTTGGGATGTTTTGAAGCCGCGACAACTATATTTAATACTCTGATTTTGAGATTAGAACGAGAAATTACGAAATATTAAATGAAATATTGCTGGAGAATGTATTGAACGTAAATGTGAAAAAATACTCGCGAAAAAATGCCGTGGTTTATTGGAATCGTTGCCAAATCACTTATAGTATGTCGTTACCCGCAATGGTAACTATAAAAAGACCAAACGTGTTCTATGTAACAATTTTCTCTAAAATAATAATAAAAAGCAAAATACTTTTTTGTGATAAACATTTTTGGATTGTTATATATTTCGGCCGATATCTTCGAGATCAATAGGTCTTACGCTGTGATTATTGCAGAAATACGATCTAAATATGTCCACAAACCTAGTCCATCATACATAATTAATTTTACATCTTTAGTTTGCTGGCTTTAGGGGTATATATTGTTTTATTTTTTTCAAATTTTTATTGAGGCAAAATACTTATTACACTCACTGTATAAATTAATTTAAAACCCAACCATTTGTTTTCTTAATTTTCAATGCTCAAACTGAAGTTCAAAATGTCAACTATCATTGCCAACATTTTAATATCTCTATTTTGTGTAACGACTTCTAACGATGAAGTCTACATATTGTAAATATATCACATCATTTTCACTAGAATCATTTGTCCTTAAAATCAAAATTTTGCAATAAATAAAACCTATTTATCTGTTGGAATTATATAAAGGAGCTTAGTTTCAATATGTAAATTTGATTGTTCGGAGATATGGCGTGACATATGACGATTTTTTCCTCCTGGGGTTTTCTTATACACAACAAGGCCTTTCATATCCCTCCAAAATCTTGTAGCATAGTGTAATTTGTTAATATACGATATTAATATCAAATTTAGAAACGAATTTTGGCCCTGCACTAACAAATTGTATATACATTTAAAGTCAATAATTCGCAGAACAATTGATCGAATTATGTAGAAAACAAATGTATTTACCAAGAAATTAATTACTAAAAATTGTTTTTGTTTTAATACAAGAAAATGTCCATGCATTATTTTTATGGAAATATAAAGAAAAATATGATTATAAATTAATGATTATGAAATATATTCACCATTTTTCACACGACATTCTCGTTTTGATGCAGGATATACATGTGTACATATGCATGTTATTGGCGTGTGTGTTTAGATTATTTACCAATATTTGTTAAAACCTGGTTACATTTATGTCCAAAAAATATATACATACACACACGCACGCACACACACATACAAATTCTAAAGAAATTTTCACATAACATACATATTGATGTTGATTTAGATCTTACCTCTCGGAACAGACGCCATGTTGGTTCCATATTTGGAAACAGTATGGCCTGTCTGCTAACACCGAAACTCATTAATACCACAGCCAATAGGACAACAAAATAAATCATGTTCTTGACCATTTTGCCCATCATTGTAACCAGAGGACCTATGAAATAGATTGGAACAATTATATTTGCAAGCAGTATAAAACTAAACCAATACCTACCCAAATATTTGTTAACACCTAAAATGTTTAGTATCCGCAAATACCAATAGATGCTGTCAACGCAGTAAATGACTCGACCAATATCCATAGTGTTCGGTCGAAATCGTAAAGATAGGCCAATAAAGAAAAGTATTATAGCAGCGCCATCACACGGATTCCACATGTTCCACGCCCATACGGAAAATTTATGTCTGCACGAAATCAGAAAATTAATATAGTTCGCATTTAACCGATAAAATAGACGAATAACTTACGTAATCGCTACTGGCTCGGAGGAGACAATTTCACGGATTTTTTCAAAACCTAATGTGGTTATATATGCAATGGAATAGATTTCTTGCCATCGTGGCATGGGTTCCATTTTAACCAATACCGTAAATGTAAACATTCCCAGGAAAAACATATAAGCAATCTGAAATAGTTATGGGAAGTATTAGATAGCTATCGAGGTAGTGGAGGATAAAAAACTTAATCGTAGAACGTTTTAAAAATAGGTCATTGTTTTGACATAAATATACACTGAAAACAAATTTAATACCATAGACAGACGACAGCCTTAATTTGCATTAACAAGTTCTTAATTTGAATTAAAATTTACCCCTGACAGACGAGAGTTTCTGCATTTATGAACCAGTTTTTTGTTTTAAAACTATTGTTTGTCTGTGTGTAGGAAGAAAATATTGACATTTCTTTACAAAATTTTTTAGGATTACATCTTTTTGAAATTGATACATGGCAGGAAGGAAAACTAACAGCTACAATGAAGATAAAACAGCTCCAAATTTGAAGAAATGCTGAATTTTGCCTTTATTTTTAATTTTTATTTTCGTAAACGTAAACAAATTTGACAACAATCAATTTATTTTCTACAGCATTGCCATACTGAAATAGCTTAATTCAGTATAAATTCAGTTTGATTTTGTGCATTAACAACACATAAAAATGAGGATAATGTACAAGTTAATTTGAATTAAGGCTGTTAATGCAAATTAAGGCTGTCGTCTGTCTAGGCTATAAGTCTCAACTTTCCATTTTAATTATATTCTTCCTCTTCATACTTAAATAAAGATATAATATTTGTTAATATTACTTACCGAATCGGCCCAAAATTTTGTTATCGGTGCTGTATAAAATTCGTAGACCTTTTTCTTAAGCCGCAACGGTTGGTGTTGTTTAATTTCGTAGTCGGTGTTGTGAAAGAAATCACGAAATTGCGATGGATCGGAGTCTGTCAGTGATACCTTTGTTTCGTTTCGAAAATTAATAAAATATAAATAAAACAAAATTAAGGAATTAATATAACATCAAAATAGTAGTCAAAGTCTTTGAGCATTTACGAATATTGTACAGTAAAGCAAATATTATTTACAAACATTTTTGCTCAACACCATTCTGTTGGACTAATGAAAACCAAATGACCCATTCACCACATTAAATGTTTTTTTTTTTTAATTTCTTATGTAAATAAAAATACAATTCACATTCAAATACAGAGTAGTATGATGAAAAATTCTAAAAGATACTAATTTTAAAGTTTAAGATATGAGTTTATTATTGCATTATATGACATGCCATTATTAAACAAGAAATAATTTTAAAAAAGTGTACATTTTACAAAAAAAAGCTACTCTTGCAATTATGTTACGAAAATATAGATCTATCGATAAAATTGAAGCCCAAACAATTTGTATTTAAAGGGCCCCATACACTATACATCATGCCGTCATGACGATGAACCCCTTTTTGTATATGTGTTGTATTGACTAGTGTATGGCAAACTCTTCATTCCAAAAAATCGATTTTTGTCAAAAAAAAAAAAAAATCACATTTTTAATCGTAAATTCAGTTCTTTTTTATTTCGTCACAATTTTATTATTTGTATACTCAAAATTATTTACTGTCAACTTTGAAAATGAATAAAATTCACCAGATTGAAAGGATTTCATTTTCAAAATCAAAACTATTTTGATTTTCTTCATGCATTGTGTGTGTCACACATACATAAATAAACTTTCAAAAAATAACACATACTATGATAAATGCTGTACGGCATGATGTATAGTGTATGGGGCTCTTAAGAATATATGATAAATATGTATTAAACGATAAAAATTAAAATATTTTATTAATCGGCTATTACATTTCTTTAATTTTTGTTTTATTTTCCAATTTTCCTAATAATAATATCTTGACGAATTTGAAATCTGGGAATGGGATTTTTTAAAACGGTTTATATGTGTATGAAGCTTTGAAATATTATACTGAATGGTTTGATCTTTTATTGTGGAATAAAATCAGAACTATATTTTTGCAGATAAGTACAGACAAACAACACCGAGACATTGGTAAAACTAACATAACAGTGGCTTAAATCTGTCTCGGCTATAGTCGTATCGATTTGTTAAACGGGCCGTGTTAACTTGCCCTGCTGAAGCGCTCACTAGGATTATTTACCTACTTACTAGGCATACAATGTTGCCAAACAATTTTTACGGATCTCGATCAGCCAAAAACGAGGAGAAGGACGATACGGTTGAGCCGCTCTTCTGTAGCTGCCTTACACTAATACAATGAATACGTATAGGTACCACAACCCCATTCTATTATTATAACCCAGGAATGTTCCTTTAAAAAAATTATTTATTAAAACAATTCAGGAATGTCTTTTTAAATTCCAATGGAAAACTTCAAAAATTTTGAAAATATAATCGATTTATTGTTTAAGCGACTAGTGCCGCGAGAGCTTTTCTCAAGACTTTAACGTGTTTTTGGGCACCAAATTTTAACATCTTATTGATGATCTTCCTTATTTCATGCCCGCCGTCGAAATATATTTTTCATTAATGGGCCAGTCTCGGGTCCAAAACTTTTTTTGACTTAATTTTCTACACTAAATCAAGAATGTCCCTACAAAATTTCAAGTGAAAATCTCAAGAACTCTTGAAAATATAGCCGATTTATTGTGTCAGCATCAAGTGACGGCTAAAAGGCTTCTCAAACTTTTAACGCGTTTTTCTCTTTTGCGAATGGCGGGCACGATAACTCAAAAACTAATAACCCAATCGATTCCAAATTTTTACACGTTTCTCTGTGAGTATACAGCTATCGTATGAACTAGGATAAAGCCAATCAGTGAAGATCTTCCTTATTTTTTAACTTGGTTTTTGGTCAAAAATCGGCGATTTTCCAAAAATATTTTTTCAAAGGTCCGCCATTTTGTTAATTTTAGAGCGAAGTCAATAATCCTAGTTCATACGAGAACCAGACATATACTCTTTCTAACACCGTTGGAATTTTCGGATTCCGATGTTCCAGTGAGGAGTTATCATGCCCGCCATCAAAAATAAGGACTTTTCTTTAATTACAAAAAACAACAACAAAACAATAACAAAATTTTTTTGTAAATTATTTTTCTTCCCTTTCAAATCTTTAATTATATATGTGCAAAGTTAGAAACCTTAACAAGCATTTTTACGACTGGCGGGCACGATTAATAAAATACTATAAATCCAACCGATTCCAAATTTTTGCACGTCATTCTTGACGTACATAACTATGAATAAAATGGGATAAATCTACATCTGCATTAGATTATTTAATTAGATTTTGACTTTGAAAATAGGGGAAAAAGTTATTAATTCTAAATCATACCAGAGCCAAAATTATGCTCTTTTTAATCCCGTTGAAATTTGCCATATGTTTCAGTTAGAGGAAATCCAAACCGCCACCGAATAGAAGGAAACAACAATAAAAACTCTTTGTTCAAATCATTTATGTCTTCAAATGTTACAAGCCAATAAAACAATTTATGTTCATTGGTCAGCCCATTGAAAATCATAAAGATGTTTATTCAAGAATGAATATGGGGATCCCCTTTATTTACAGGTCATTCGTTACTATTCCTCCTCGAGAAAACTGACATTCGGGCATGTTCTGGCATTCACTTCAACAATAGAAGTGTATCGAAAATTTCAATTCACGTGAGAAGCAGAAAATGAGTTAACTTCTAAAGGAAGAGTAAAGTGTAAAAAACACACCGTGTGTTCCAGAACATACCCGATAGTTACAAATACTATAGAGTCAAAACTGCTAGTTTGGATTTTCAAACTATTTTTTTTAAATAAATTATTACTAAATTATTTTTTACATATCTATTTCCACCTCCAATATCGCAAACATTCGTTTTAAGAAATTTATTTCTAAACTTGGCCTAAATTTTATAATGATATGTTTTTATGAATTACGACAGCAAAAACAAAGAGAAAACGCAATAAGCTGTAGGCTATTCAATAATATAATACGATGCTACTATACAAATTTAAAAAATATTTTGTTTATACTAACATATTTATTTATTTAAGAATATGAAATCTAGAATATTAATATTATCTAGAAATTTATTTATCACTTATTTGGATTAAAAATGGATTTAAATGAATTTACTAAAATTTTAATCTTTGCACATAAATACAAATTAAATAATTTAAACTAATTACGATTTTCAAATTTTAGATTTTGAAAGCAGTGCCAAAAGTATTGTGCAATATGAAAGCAATTCTAAATCTAAAAGCGAAGACAAAAATCTTAATAGAGATAGAAAAAGAGAGAGAGAGAGGAAAATGTTATATAAACTAACTTTGGAGGGGGGTTCTTCCGCTCCGGCAGTGAGATTAACCTGAAATTAATCAGTTGGGTGATATGAATTCAAATCTAAGTAGGCGTACAGTAAGTTAAAAAAATATGTATATTTAGACAATAAATATATGTATAAAGTTAAATAGAAGTTATTTCATTCATTATTTAGTGATTTATATTTTTGCATGTTGCAATATATAGTTTTGTTGCTTTAGTTATTATTGTCCTGTATGTAAGTATTAAGCTAAGTTACAAAACTTCCTACATCACTATATTGCCACTACAAGTTTACATAAATTCAGCCAACAATATTTTGTCAATGGATTATTTCAAAAGTGTTTATTAAAAATGTTTAATTTTTTTAAATTATATCCCCACAATTACTTTCTAAGTATACGTTTGATAAGGTCCAGATGCTTGTCGTAAATTTTCATTTTGATATAACAATTAGAACGAGCATAATCGATCTTGTTGTCTGTGTGTCACCTGATCCAATTATGAAACGACCGTAATTAGTTTTTCTCCTATTTCTCCACAGCTATTTTATTTATACAACAGTTTTGATCGGCACGTCCCACAAAAAATCCTCTGCTTGTAGGTATTTTTTTAATGTGTTTATACATCCACATTTATAGATTTTTTAACAACATTTGGAATTATTGGTTGTTATTAAATTTTCAACTTTTGCAAATATTGTTGGCTATATGAATTGTAGTTTGTTGTACCACAGATGACTTTACAAAAATGTATTCTATAGTGAAAACCTTAGATTCTACGAATTTCTACGATTTGTAGTACTGAATTCTATGCAGATTACAATTTACGGTACTGAATCAGAAGCTAAGAAAGATAACGAATACGATAGTGGAAAGATCGAAAAATGTGTATTCTGGTGTTTAAAAAAAGTGCTGATTTGTTTTTACTCGAAAGAAATAAATTAAAGAGAAATAGTTCTGCCAGAGTTCAAAACAAGAAGTGTCAAAGAAAAGGAATTGAAAATTAAAAGGAAAAAATTGCCAATACCAAGGAAATATAATTGTGTCTATTTGTGTGTATTTTGTTTTTGTTCTTAACTCAAAATTATGATAAATGATAGATGTAGTGAAACAAAAAATGCATTTTACTCACTTTTCCGTTTTCATGAACTTTGGTGTCACGCAATGAATATGTGTCCGCCAAAAGTGCCTGCAAAGGTTTCAATGCGGGTTTTCACGATATCAATCAAAATATTTTTCAAATTTATTTATTTAGCAAACAATTAATCAGTTAATCATTCATTAATTCATTCACATCTCTATTAACTAATGCAACAAATCAATCCAGCAAATCTACGTTTATACGAAACATTTGTTATAGACAGACAAAGGTGAAAATTTTCACTGACATTTTATTTTTAGTTCGAGTCCGTTGTTTGTCAGATACAAATATTCAAAGTCTTGAGTGAGAGAAAAATAATTTTGATCAATCAAAATGTAACGCAGACAACTTCAAGTCTATATGACACGAATTTAAACAATAATTAAATTATAAATTCATTGATAGAAGTAAATACACAGAAATTTCATATTATTTTATGTAATTGTAATAAAGTCGACCTTCTCTAAAAAAAAATATTTATATTGTGTATTATTGAATATAATAGTACGTCGGTCCCCCTCTGCAACGACAAAAGGTGTTCGCCTGTGTATTTTAATGTACATTTGATTGAATGGAAAAATATGCGTATTACTTTTTTACATAATTATTTCATTTTACAAAGAATAAATATACATAAAAAATAGAACGTAAATAATATTTAAATATATTGTACAAATAAAAAAGGTTCCGATTATTGCTAAAAATGGTAATAACTTCTAATGTCAGTTATTGCCATTTTTAGCAATAATCGGAAGCGAACCTAAAGTGGTGTTCAAAACATATGCAACTGAAATTGACTATGTGGAAATATGCAGGTATCTCTTTATTTGAAGTTAAAAAATAAGACAACTTGGTAGTTTTTCAACGCATTGCGCTCAATTGAAACTGTAATTGTAATTTCCCCAGAAATTTTTGGTATTTTGCTGTACCAAATGAATGTGTATACGCCATATACAGAATTGACGCAAAAAAACATTTCAACTGAAGCGGGAAATATTTATAATTCTCGCATGGACCCCACAACAACAAACCACAAATTTTGATATCCTATAACATTTGATATCCTACAACTAGGCTATTAATTATAAATTATATATGGAAGCTATCTTTAAATTTGATCCGAATTAAGGCGCAAATCGAAATGCATTTAGTTTGGAAGTCTTTAAAAAAGTTTCTTAACTCGAATTTAATTCAAATTTCAATCGGACAAAAATAGGGTCCTAAACTATTTACAAGAAATCCGAAAAATATGAAAACGGTCATACCATTTTTAATAATAATAAATTGACAGATCATAATATCGCTATCCAAATCCCCACATTTCAAGTATTACATAACAGATTCTTGCATTAGTGCAATATCTGTCAAAAAATGCCAGCTCTTGGCTAATAAAATGTATACTTTATGCCCTGCATATTATTTTTGTGCTGATAGCAGTAATTATTTAAAACATATATCACTAAAAAATTTTAAACAGCTCTTGCAACGATTATATTTACAATTTGGCTTTTGGTTGGTTATTTTTTTTTTTAACAAAATTGATATTTCGATTTTGAAAATCGATTTTGAAAATCGAAAGAGATAAATACATAATCAATGTGTTTTCGTACATTAACATTTTTAGAGCTTTTCTTAGGTCCCAAGCAAAAAATTTTAAAAGTTAAAAAACGTTCAAATTCGTACTGGTACTGGGGTTGTCGATCGTGTGGTAACTATCATTAAAATGATAAACAAAATTAGCGGTAATATATAAATATTTCAAGTCGCATATTTAGCTTTAAATATTGATCCTGAGCTTACAAATCTCATCTGTTAAAAACACTATTTTATTAACTAAGCAATAAAACATATAATTTTATGTTTGACTAAAATTTGCCAATTTAAATGAAAACAATGAAGAAAGCCTTCTAATACACACATTAACTAAAAATCGAATTATATAATATTTTAATATTTGAAGGATTGTTGGAACTAAACTTACATTGTTGGAATTTGTTAAACTATAATTTGGTGATGGTGATCCCAAATCAAGTTGTAACAATTTATACTTTAATTAGATTGGAATGGAAAGGAGAGGGGAATAAATATACAAATCACATCAGCTAATATTTACATATAAATGTAATGTTGTCAATCAAATAAATTTTCATAACAATAACATGATAGTCTACTTACATATATAACAACAATGTTAGTAATGAATGAATAATTTCTTGCTTTGAATAATTTATTATTCTAACAAAATGATTGTTATTTGTTTTATGTTTTAAAATTGTTCCAGAATATAAAATCTAATAATGATATAGAAACTCAAACAAAGGGGAATAAATGAAATCTGTTTCTATTCGAAAAGTATATCTAACTATGTGTTTCATGAGAAATAAATTCAAGAGTACTTTTAATTGCGAACTGTGCCAAAATTTGGATCCGTGTTCTCAAATAGTTGGCTTGGAATTTTATTATATAATTTTCGTGGTCCTGGGGCACTTTCGGCATAGGGGTACATTCGGCAATCACGTTTTCGATATGAAGCTCTCACTGTACATCACCAGCTTCGATACACGGGTATCGAATATCAAAATAAATAACTGTCGCAAAGTTTAAAATCTCTAGTTAATAAACTTATTTGGATGCAAGGTTTTGGGTATTTTTACAGATGTTTCCTTTCTTAAACTTTCAATGTTTAAGGCAGTAATATTAAAAAGTAGTTGATTACAATGTGCTTTCTTATATAAAATAATTTAAAATATAATGTTTTTAGAAGATTGGTAGGAAAAAAACTATAAAAAGTAACTTCGGCATTTTGAAGTGGGCATGTTCGGCCATACTTAGATAGTGCAATATTATTTCCTTAAAATGTTTTTGAGTTTGTCCTTTAATATTTCCTTTAATGTGGTTCGAAATTACATATATAAGACAAAACGTTCCTGTATGGTCAATAATTCGATGGAAAAGATATATTTCTGAGCAAATGGTTCCAAGCCTTAAAGAAAATGTAGCCTTAAAAGTCAAACATTGAGTCGCATATTAAAACAAAATGATAACTTTACCAGGATATAACTATGGTGCCGAATATGGTGCCATCAAATGCCGAAGCTACCCTGGGTAGGGGCACATTCGGCGAATTTGTATTTTTTTTACAAAACTGTAAAACTTTTTAACTTACACTAATTTTTTATATGTTTTTGGTACTAGTTTTTATAATTAAGTATTCGATTACAATAACCAGCCATAATGTTTTTATATCTCTTGAATAAGTACTGAGATATAGAGCTCTAAAAAAGAGCCGAATGTGCCCCAGTCTCCCCTACGACAAAAGAAATTATAAGGCTCAAGGAGTACTTTCGGAGTACCGATCGGAAGATATATTAGATAATAGTGTTTGGAATAGTCGTCGATTTGGAATTTTGCGCAGCTTCAATATGTAAGAAGTAGAGGGTATTTGGAATTTTTCCAATCCAAGAAAAATTATATTTTTGACATGAATAATTATGGTCCTAAACGTGATAGTTGTCGAAACATCGGATAATGCAAAATATTTAATAAGCCTTTAAAATAGAACTGACAACGTATCTAGGGTGATATATGTACGTAAATCCTATAATATAATTTTGTATGTTAAAAACTAATTCGTGAAGATACCAAGTACTGTACGGTACTTTTAAGCTTTCACTTTTTTCGTTTCATACAATTACAACTAAAAACAATTATAATCGCCTTTATACTATTGATTGATTTCAAATTATAATACTCGCTTTCCAAATGCTTAAGAACAGAAATTGACTTTTGGTATTATGTTATGTATCCTATGTAATCTTTTGAAGGTCAAACTGCCAAATTTTACCTTCAACAGTTCCATGTTTAATTCAAAAATAAAGTTCCACAAAAAGGGTTGTTTTGTATCGTTAACAATAAAATACATTTACAATGACAACAAAGAAACGATGACACGATGACACGGGTCAACATTGTTTACATGAACACCTTTATTTATATTCCCTATATCTGATGTGTGTGTGTATATCTTAGTTGAGTATGAAAATATACTATCTGGATAATTGTATCGCTAAATATACATTAACGCAAAACATTTGTTGGGGCTATAAAACAAAAACCAACATTCAATTTAGGGTAACACCTTCCTAATGAAAATAAATTGAATAAAATAGACAAATAAACTAATAATCTTTTCCGATAATAATAGGCACGGACACATAATCACGACAACAAACATAATGTGTTAGCTAATTAGTAAACTTACAGATAACGTACACAACAGATAAACTAAATTATACACTTTGATTCGGGTTAACATATCACATAGGCATACATTCGTGTTAAATTATATATATATATACATTTAATAAACGAAAGGATATTTAAAAGCGGAATGCTGTTCGACATTTGGCGAAAACGTTTAAGTTTGAATCAAATAAAAAGTTTCGCTCAAAGTCAAATATGTTGTGTATCATTTAGAACACAATATTAAGAAAATTAAACAATACATGGTCCTATTTCAAAAAAATATCCTAAATGCTGAAACTTTGCTCTGTGTATTAAAAATGTAATTTAAAATCTTTGTAAATGACTTAATCTGAATGAACTGACATATTACCTATTTTACAGTTCATCGACAACATTTGTAATAATGTCTGTAATTAGGAATTAATTAATTTGTAAATTAATTTGTCTATTATAAAACAAGGATTTATATTTAATACTGCAGTTAAATCTTTACACTTTTTTAGTTAAAATCAAATATAATTCAAATTACGCTAATTCTTTAAAAACCAGAAAGGAAAAGTAAAAAGTCGGACGGGCCGACTATATGATAACCTTCACCACTTTTGGTACATACGATAGATGCTTATATGTACAATATCCTGTAGATATAACAGACATAGCATCATTGGACGACCATTGAAATGGAATCGGATGAAATTAAATATATGATCTACATAGATATTTGAACCAGTTTAAATCACACACCATTCGGAAAACTTGCATGTCAGTCGGGCCGGTGTACCATTTGTATGAAATCGAGCATAATTATGTATGGGGGCTATATGGAAATCAGGACCTAATTAAACAAACGTGACATAAATCATTTGGTATGCTACAACACAGTGTGCTGTATGGAATTTACATCGATTGGAGAAACGTTTATTATTTGGTGCTCAATTGTATGAATTCTGACAGAGATATAGAGCGGTTATATCTACATCTGAATATATTTTACAAAATCCAATAAACGTTATTTTAGGTTCAATTTGGTACGTCCCAATCGGACGAATTTTAGTTATTTGGCACACCTTTTATTCGAAATTGCATGAAGATATATATGAAAGCGATATCTAGGCATTTACAAAGAATCAGAATTTTATTGAATGAAAGCAAAAAATTTCGGAAATAGCATCAGCTTTTAGAATAAGTTTAGATTTGTTCGAATTGGTCACCTTTGGCACGAATTATGGCCTTCAAACGGCCAAAGAAACCGTCACACGCTGTCCGAATGTTGCTCTGCGGTATTTTGGCCCATCCCTGGCGAAGCGTTTGCTTGAAGTGATCGACATACTCCAGACACAATAGTCCAACGGATTGGTGTCCGGAGATTTTGGTGGCCATTGTGCGCTGGGAATGAAGCTAGGAATACATTTTTTAATCATTATTGGGTTGCGCAGGAGAGTGCGAGTCGGAATGTCCAAGGTCTGCTGTCAAAATGTTTGCGTGCCCAAGGCTTTAATACACCCTCCAGAATATTTCCGCGATTATATTCGGCTTTTATTCTGATGCCACGGTCGATTAATACGAGCGGAGAGCGACCATCGTCTGTTATGGCGTCCCATACCATCATGGCCGGCGCTTGAGTTCTGGTGGCCAACCGACGGTGCACATTTCAGCTGACCTCTTTGGCAAGTAAATATGATCATTTTGTTTGTTTATAAACTGCTGGACAACGAATGTTCTTTAGTTCTTTTGAGTCAATTTTTTGGAATTTCAACGGCTTTTCCCCGAGCTCATTTTTCAATATTTGCCGAATGGAATATTGCAATATTGTCAGCTCACAAGCCAGTTTTCGGCCACTGCGACGCGGGTTTCGATCAAGTCACTTCTTTACTTTTCGAACCATTTTTGCAGATGTTGCTGTTTTCTTCCATCCACTTCCTTGACGTCGGGCTACGCTACCAGTATCACGGTAACGAGCGATGGTACGAGACACAAAAGATGTATTCACATTTAAATGCTGGAGTGCTCTAACGATAGCCACTTGTCGTTTTGCAGCCAAATATAAAGAAATCACACTATCACGATTGAACGCTTTTGTACGCTTGTAAACAATACAATAACTAGAATAATGTTAACAGCTGTCGGACGAGTGGCTTAGAAATGACAGCAGCCTGAAGTTGGTTGCAGTTTTTTTATCTCACCTGTATCTTCATCTGAACCGATTTTTACAACGCAACACACTAAACTTTCTGCCAAATTCCGTGAAAATCGGACAAATATTGGGAGTTTAGTGGACCATTTACATAAAATCAGACGAAACTATATAGGGGAGTTATATCTAAATCTAAAACGATTTCAACAAAACTTCACGGACGTCAACTTGTATTAATTTCAGTACGATGTCCAAAAAATTGACTCAGTCGTACAAACATTGGTAGTTTGGTGCACCATTTAGACACAAAGACCTGTATTACAGAGTGGTGAAGGGTATAAAAATCGGTGTTATCTGCGGAAGTCAAATGATCTTCAAATAAATCCCAAAACTGTACAATTTAAAATATATAAAGTTATCACTTTTTTTCGGCCGGAAATTTTCCGGAAAAATCCACGAAATAATATTAGCCGATAGAATAATAAAGTTACACGAGAATGTCTATTAAGGTCATGTGTGTGCGGTTTCAATAACAAAATTGCATTAATTGGATTTAAAAATTATACCTTGTCCTTGTATTAACACCCCACAATAAGTCAAATAATTATGTTTTGTGGACCTCGAAAATTATATATTTATAAATATGTACAGAAATTAGAGAAATGTTAGACTTAGTGCACTACCTTGGCTGCGTGTGTGGCGTATATATCAATGCAAGAAATTGCAACTCTAAATCGAAATTTGAAATATATTTGCTAGTACCTAAGAATTAGGATATTATTTCAAGAATATTTTAGAGTCTCTAAATGTTTCTAATAAACCTACGACGAAAATTAACTTAACTTTTAATGTCTTCATAACAAATTCAGACAATTACAACTAACAAAAATACGATGTAACAAATTGAAAGCAAATACCTCCGTACAAAAATAATTATTGAAAGCCCCATTAGTGAAAACAAACGAAAAAAATATTTTATTCTAACCTATTAAATATTAAATTTAGCAAGGTCGTGTTCCCGCAAAACCTTATTTCAAAATATAATTTACAAAAACTGATAAAACATTCGAAAGAGTACATCGTTTATAAATAAATACATTTAAAGTTGTTAACACACTGACATACGACATTGTCGCCAGTTTAAAGTTGAACAAAAATTGAAATCAGCCAATCAACAAAAATAAAAGAAACTGAAAATCAACGTAAAACCACAGAGTTGTTAAGTAGTGATTGTTAGTAATTGGGAACATATACAGAGGGAAACGGGTGTATGTTTGTCGACCTATGTTACATATACATGGTGTTGTGTATGTATGCATGTAGTAGATGTGGATACTCGGACACATATTTATTTATATGGTTATGCACGAATATCGAATATCACGAATAATACAAAATTACTTGATTTACTACCTTTTCTGCATTATTGTTATTACTGCCCATCCTATATTTCAAAGAAATTGACCTTTTCGCTTTTGTGAGAGGATTCTAGAAAATAAGTATTAGGACAATAATAGAAATAGTAGTTGTAGTAGTAGTAGTGGTGACAGGTAGCAGTAGATATACAAAAGGGCATGATTTTTAAATCAAAGGATTCTTACAGTGTCTTTTGTAATATTAACGAAAGTTTACAAAAAACAAAAGGATCATACCCTCCGAAATGTTAAATACATATTTACATATGAAATAAAAATATTAAAAAAGGAAAACTAAACAACAAAAAACACTTTTACCGTAGAAATACCCAAACTAAATATAATAATTAACGCAAATCCCCTCCAATGTCGTTTGAAAGTATAACAAATGGAAAATAAGATATCGCAACTACTTCTCATTGAAAACTAAATAACTTACCTCGGCATCAGGATGGGAACGATCTGAATCATCATTGTCCAAATTTTGATTTTCTAAATGTTCCTCTTCGGTTTGAGGCATTTGTTGGAGTTCCTCTTTTGATTTGAAATCCAAATGTTTTATATAAAATGGCAGAATTAAACCTAATATAACCTGCAAAATATGCGATAAAAGATACAACATGATAATTATTGGGAAAACTGTATGGGACGAGTGAGTTAGTTTATAAGCATGTGCATAGTCACCTTAAAATTAGTATTTTTTCGTGTTCGCAATCCACCCATCCATAAATCTGCCAATATAACTTGACTGCAGGGATGGGCCAGGAGTGCTCTGTGATTGGCTGCAACCGCAAGGGATAGACAACTTTGGTTGGACCAAGAATGCAATTCACACGTCAATAGACGTTGAGCCTTTTCGGCATCTGTTCGGTAACTAAAGTCGAGTAATTTAATACCTAGATATTGGAGAATAAAATAGATTGTTAGAATATAGTTTAATTGTATTTGCTTCACAAAGTGATAACCAATAGTTTTTTTAGAAGGATTAAATTAAAAAAAGAAACACTAATAGACATTGATATAGAAAAGTGGATCTGAGAAACATTTGTTTGAGAAGTAGCATAGAAATGCTTAAAATTGTTCGGTATCGTTACAACCATTCTATATGGAAATGCCTCCCTGCGTCCCAAGTGCTGATCGTACAATCATCAGCATATGTAACGATCTCTATGGCCTCCGGGCGTGAAATACCGGAAAGGTAGAGGTTAAACAGTTCCGGGGATACCACTTCACCCTAGGGAAGGCTACACCAAACGTGGACCGATATATGTCATTTGCAATATCAAACATTTCAGAGCTCGATCTTAAATATTGCGATTTATATCGTGCTTTCAATAGACGGATAGACAGATAGACAAACACGCGTTAATCGAATTTAAACTCATATATATATATGGGCAATTACAAAAATCTTTTAAATTCCTTGAAACTCAGGTTAGCAAGGTTATAACTCGCGAAATATGAATATATTGCATATAATTTAAATTCATTTCTATAAAATGAAGTGTTCTGTCAAAATCTTAAAATATTGGTATTAAATAATAAGTTGCGTGGAAGCTATGATGGTGATAATGTAAAAATATGGGTGCAAATGTGTTGAAGCCAATGAGTTTTTTGTGTTCCTTTCTGATTTGTGGCTAAAATACGCAACGCACGCACATGTGATCAGTGACTAAGTTGCAGAATACCCCATGGATAATATGGTTCTAATGTATGATTTTTCGATATAATCACTGCATCCACCGAAAATGGATGCTGACATTTTGTAGCCGGATTTTCGGTGTTTTTTGAATTTTTCTTATAATTAGGACGCGCATCCACTCAATGACTAAACTAATTATAGGATTGTCTAACTCGTGATTTTGCTTCGTTTGGTGTATATATGAATGTGCTCACCGTAGCTTCTCTGCAATTGGGTTCCAAAGCCGAAAATTTGGAGCGTAAATTTTTATAAAAAACATATTTTTTGAGTCTACAATTAAGAAAGTCCATTCAAATTCCGTGGAACCCCGCGTGATTTTAGTTTTTGTACGTGCCGGATCTAATGAGCCCATCTATGTTCAATTCCGACCAATAAAACGGCGGATATAGGTACCTTGAATGTGGGAAAAACCGCAAAAACTTATTTTGACAAATTCGCGTATATAATCGCGTTTTTCTTCGAATTGATTTCACATACATTCATTCTTGTGTTATCATATTCGCGAATCTGTGTGAAAATAGGTTAAAAATATATCGATATATCGGCACATCCGCGGTTTTTAACCGATCCTTTTAAAATAGGTGTCCTTTTATGTATTTTCAAAGGAGATTACTGAAATCGGATGCGCATAAAAATAGTATGCACGTTGCGCGATTTTTAGCCATTTTTAGGGTTTTTGCATAGTAAAGTGCATCGAGCGGCACACTTTGACCGCTAAATTAAACATAGAAAAATTCATAATTATTGAAAGACATTGATTCGGTTTATACGAAAACCGCATGCGCATCAATTGATTTCAACTAATACGCGAATTGCATGTTTTTAAATATTGATAATTTGTATGTATTGTAACTGCAATATATTTAGTCATAACATTTCGATTTAATTAAAAAATTAATTTATTTTATTTTCAGATATCTTCATGCTTCTATTTGTTTTCGCGACAATTTAACCGTAATTCAATGTGATTTGACTAGTATGCAAAGAAAGCAAACGTGTTTAACCATTTGTCAAGAAATTCACAAATTACAACAAATAGGAATTAATTTAACACTAGAACGCCGAAGGCGGTCATTTTGACCGCTTTCCAATTTCAAGTACAAAAGCAACTGTGCATTTAATGACACTTTTTTTTAAATTTGGTGACTTTTTGTACCTCACAGAATTACATTTATTATAAAAAATTCACCAAATTTTAAAAAATTGAATGCACAGTTGCTTTTGTACTTGAAATTGGAAAGCGGTCAAAATGACCGCCTTCGGCGTTCTAGTGTTAATTTATATTTGAAATACAAGATTTAAAACCGCTATAACTTTAGTGTGCAGCATCCGAATTTGTGAACGCGAACATATTTCTAATCAGCATATTTTTCTTGACCTATGTACCAAAAATCATGAATGTGCTCGCAAAAAATTTTTTCAAATTATTTTTTATGGAATTTTAAAAGAATTTTGTAATTTCCCATATATACTTTATGGGGACTTCGGAGAATTTTTCGAAGTGTTGCAAACGGAATGACAAATTTAATATACACTCCACCTTATGGCGGAGAGTATAAAAACATATTCGGGTTGTGCAGTGTACTTTAGTTGGAGATACACTAAATTTAAGTTATCTCCTGGTCATCTTATAGTGAAGGACATTTCCATATTCTTTCTTAACTTTAATACAACCTAAATTGCAAAGAAGAAATCTTAATAATCATACTTATATTGTGGAAAAAGCATTTCGCTATCATATTAAAAACACATATAATACTAAATTCGAAATCTTCATGTAAATAGGAAATTAAATGATATTTGGATTTTATTCAACAAATACAGTTGTGTGTTTATTATTACTTACCTTTGCTTTCAAATTCTTTGGCATACGAACGCAATTCTTCATAAATTTCCGTGTCCAAATCATCTTCGGCCGCTTCATGGGCCATTGCTTTATACAATTTACAGGCAACCAATGACTTTGCCAATGCCTCCTCGCCATGGGTCCACATCAGCAGTGCCATTTGTTGGCGTTTTGTTAGCACAGCCCATATCTAAAGGTGAACAATTAAATGACGCACACACATACATACAAACACGAATTGTGACACAAGTTCAGCTAATGACTATTACTGCATCAACATGTCATGGACTTACCAAAAGTTCATTAAACGGAAATTCGAAAAGGGCCATTTCCGATGTAAAGGGCAAAAGACCCGTGACCAGACTTAACGAATTTGCGCCAGCATATCGTTGGTATGTCGATGATTTTCGGTGTGCATTGGCATAACTATTCATAACTTTGGCATAAATAGGACGAAATTTTCGGCGTGTATAATACGATCTGCAATGACCAAATAAAGGATTTTAATTGTGTTATATATTAAATTTATTTAAACAAAGAAAAAAAATATTGAAAATTATTTAATACGAATATATGTATATGGCATATGTTCAGTCATTGTTGTATGCCTCTATTATAGTTCCTTATTAATAGATTTTTAAATATTTAGTGCCGCACATCCATCATCCTATTTAGTCGTCTGGCATTGCTATGATAATCCGCTTAAAAACTTTTGTTAACTATAAAACTTTACAAAAAGAGGTAGTAAATCAAATGCATCAATTTCAAATGAAACTTTTTTGTTGACACTTGACACTTTTTTGACGTTTATTTATCTGTACTAGGAAGTTTTTCTTTGAACTTGTCATGGCGGCTTGACTTTTGAGTGATTAGTGTTGTTTGATTGTAGTCACAATAATTTGAATGATCCTTTGTTCTTTTAGGATATATTATTTAGTTTATAGCAACATAAAAAACCAAAACCTATGTACATACTACACACAAATAAACCAGTAAGGAAAGTAGTAAAGTCGGACTGGGCCGACTATATGATACCTTCACCACTTTGGGTATATTCAACAGATGTATCCTAAGATGTATCCTATCGATGCACCAATTACATAAAACCGGACGAAACTATATATAGGAGCTACATTTAAATCTGAACCGATTTTCACGAAATTTAGCTCACGTCATTCTAAACACAATTCAGTACGCTATGACAAATTTCGTGCAAATCGAATGATTCTCAAAGACTTTGGTGCACCATTTACCTAAAATCGGGCGACTATATATATATATATATATATGGGAGCTTTATATACATCTGAACCGATTTTCATGAAACTTGGCACACATTATTGACGCAATTCAGCACGCTATGCCAAATTTCGTGCAAAGATATATAGGGTCTTAAAAGCACCAATTACCTTAGATGAAAATATATGTGGAATCTATATCCAAATTTGAACCGATTTCAACGAAACTTTTCACAGGTTAGGTTATACTAATTTCAGTACGTTTTGTACTTTCAATCATATATTGGTTCCTTGGTGTGTCAATTACTTAAAATCAATCGATCTATGCAATATTAGAACTTTGGTACATTATTTACATTAAATCTGACGGAAATATATATATATATATATATCTTAATCTGAACCGATTTTCACGAAACTCAGCACACATCATTCCAGGAAACTTGGCATAAAGCACTCTAGGCTCTATTAAGTACGTTATGCCAAATTTCGTGTAAATCGAAATATATATAGGGACTTTGGTGCATCACTTACATAAAATCGGACGAAACTATATATGGGAGCTTTATCTAAATCTGGAACGATTTTCACGAAACTTGGCAGACATCACTCTATGCTCAATTAAGTACGTTTTGCCAAATTTCTTGCAAATCGAAAGATATATAGGGACTTTGGTGCACCATTTACATAAAATCGGACGAAAATTCATATGGGAGCTATATCTAAATCTGGACCGATTTTCAGGAAACTTGGCAGACATCATTCTAGGCTTAATTCATTACGCTGTGCCAAATTTCGTGCAAATCGAACGATATATAGGGACTTTGGTGCACCATTTACCTCAAATCGGACGAAAATATATATGGGAGCTATATCTAAATCTGAACCGATTTTTCTCAATTTCAATAGGGTTCGTCCCTGGGCCAAATAATTGAACTGTGCCAAATTTCATCCAAATCGGATCATAAATGCGACCTGTACTTTGTTCACAAAAATACATGGACGGACGGACGGACATGCGTAAATCGACTCAGAAAATGATTCTATGCATATTCTCAAAAGTAACTATGGGTCTATCTCGATTCCTTTTGCCTGTTACAAACATATGCACAAAGACATAATACCCTGTACCACAGTGTGGTGAAGGGTATAAAAATGCGTTTAATTTGGGCGTGCCAAACATTTAATACATTCAAAATTCGATCGGGATACCAAATGACAACCCCATCGGTTGGAAAAAGCAGCTAAATACCGAAAATGGAAAGGTACCGTGTTATGGGAGCTATGCCAAACCGTAAAGTGACATTGATAATTTTTGGTTGGCAGATTTAACACTCACAAGAATTTGATAGAGCGAATTAGGTTGAAAAAATTACGCTCCCTTCGTGAAAAACGCTTATTTATTACTTTATTTTGACCTGTACTAGAAGCCTCTACTGCAGGTGTTATTCTAATAAAATAGGAACTCAAAGTTTTTTATGATCCCTACATCAGATTTTTTTTTAATTTCTACATTTGTCCAATATTTTTCAGAATTTCCAAGGAATTTATTAATTTTTATTAAATAATGTATATTCATAAGCACACTTATTTAAATATCAATTAAATCTGCAGCAGACAGAAGGTTCTACAAAAGTTTAAATAATTTTTCAAAACAAGATAATCTATACAAATTAAATTCAAATTAATTAAATACATTCCTGGCGCACCATTTATGGACCAATGAAGCTATGTATGTCTATGTGGGTGTGAATTTAAAACAGGGCATTCTGGAATAATTTAACATGCATTACATTTTTTTTGCATTTTTTGTTTCTATTTATTTTAATGGAAATACTCTGGCAGAACCCCTGGGATGTGAATCTATTTATTTCATAACGACCAATACAAATACAAAAAATAATAGAATAAAACAAAAAATATATAATGAACATACCTATAGGCGCCACCCATTAATTTATTAATAACTAAACCAATATCGTGTAAAGTATAAACGTATCCTTTGGGTATATGAGGACGAACATCGCGTAAAATGTAACTAAAAGAAGAAGAAGAAGAAAAAATCGAAACGAAACAATAGAATAAATTATTTTGTTGATGAAAACATGTCTCGACATTAATAGTCTATAGATGTTGGGGGAAGCAGCTCATTGATCCCATGTATTGTTTTTCATCCTTCTCATCATCTTTAAAATGCAAATGAACTAGACCAAAGAGAGACACTTACCCTAACGTATTTGCTGGACCATGTTTGGTATTGTAAAGCTCCTCAAGGCGTGGTATTGTCAGAAATTTCTTCATTGAAACACCATTTTCTAAAAGTAATTTAACAAAATCGATTCGGTCGTGTTCCAGTGCCTGCATCATGGCCTCATCAAGTGCTCCTTTTGGGATTTAAAGCAAACACATACAAAAAGAAAAACGGAAATGGGAAAATTATTGAAATTTTATGCAAAGTCTTTTATTAAAATAAATAGGATACGATATGATTGAGACGCATCCCGACTATCCATCCACCCAATTGATGTTTCTTTTTGCTGTTTTCGCATTGTTTCTTTGTTGAAAAATTCCATGTCCATTAACTTACCATTTGGCCACTCTTGGCCGTAAACAAAAATCTCACTGCGTGCTATGTCAACACGATTCCAGGTCAATGCCAAACTCAATTGCTCCGGTGGACTCAAGTGCTGCGATTTGAAGAGGGCTGTTAAAATGGTTTGATCCAATTCCTGTGCCTCGCCTTCTGGCTTTTCCTGTATCCGAAATATTGTTATCTACGAAAAGTGAAGAGTATTTCGTGTTGTTACGTTAGTAATGCTTCTTTTTTTCAATTTCAATTAATAATCAATAGAAGCAGAATCGATTAACTGAAACAAGCATGGAAATGTGTTTTAAATTGGTCCAATAAATTGGTAATTGGTAATTCGGAGTACCAGGGTAGGTTCTGTATAAGCTCGCACTGGATTAAGAAATAATTTTTCATAAGTATTGTGATCCTTTCAAATACGCATTTTAATTATCACGATTGTAGCTCATACTGTAGTTCTTATTATCCCCATTAACAGAATAATAATTTTTGATAGAAAGGTTTCCACCACAACAAAAATATATGTAATATTTTTAATGCAAACGTGTTCACGGTCCTCAAAGTGGGACCTATAAATATCGTGTCCAATGCTCTTAAAGTACCTCAACTTTTGAAGTGCAGTTGTAGGCGGCTACGCTAAAAAGTGGATCGATATAGCACATCTTCAAACATGATCGGGCTACAGACAAAATACAAGCCTATGCAAAAACACTACAATAAACAACTGATGAGGCTACGTCGTCTTAGAATTTCATACTGAAGATGATTGTATATATTCTTTATAAGGTAGAGAAAAAATTTAGATGAATTACGCACGGAGTGGGAAGAATAATATACCCTCCATACTATAGAATTTTAAATTGTTTATAGTGTTTGTTAAAAAAAAACAGAATTCCTATGTTTAATCCGGTCCTCGATCCCTAAAAATATTATACATTACATACTCATTTTACTTACCAAATTCTTGTTGCGTGTACATTGCAAAAGTTCCTGATACAATTTCTCGGCCTGATCGGAGCCCACTTCGAATGTTTTTTGTATTGTGCCAATGAGATAGTCTCTCATGGATTCCAGTACCGGTTGTTCGTCACCATCAGAGGCATATCTGAAAACAAAGCGAAAAAATGCAAATAAACGAATCGGAGACAAATGCCGATTGAAAGAAATCATTAAAAGCTTTCCCCTTTTTCCATGGTTTAAATTAAAAATATAATTTTAAATATTGTTGCAAGCACAGCATAAACGAATGAATGGATGGGATTATAGTGGTGGCAAAAGGATGCTTCGCCCACCCATCATCAAATAGGAAACTTTAAATGAAATACACTACCCCGTTATTCTGGCCAACATTTATAAATTGCGGCTAAAAAGTGAAAGGAAACTGTTCCAGAAAATGGCCAAAATTAATTAATTAAAACATAGTTAACCTTTGGCGCAATACAAAACCGCAGCATTCAGCACTTTCAATGACCACCACATTATAACGGCAGACCTTTCACCATTTATGTTTTCATTGGCTGGGGCCTTTGTGAGCCACTCTTATCAAATTGTGGCCAAAGTGGTTTCAGTTACCAAAGACAAAGGCAACGTTTGCCAAACGCCTTTATAAGGCTGGATGTAATTTAAAAATTGTTCGTTGGTTAGTGCATACTTTATAAAGCGGTTTGCATGGGGGAAATGAAATATAAACAAATATTTTTAAATTATTGATAGGAACCCGGAATTTTAAATGCCTCAGTATCAATTATTAGGATCATAAACATTCAAATTAAATTTTATTGTAATTATTTCAATTAATGTACATGATTATTGTTATACATTCAAATGTAAAAGTTGGACAAAGGTAATTCTCCAGTCGTAAGAACTTTACTCACATTTTTAAATGAAACATGATATAAATCAACTTTATCTCTTTTAATTTTAGAAAAAAAATGTGACAGGAAATATAGAAACTAATTGGGGTATATATAAACAAATTGGGGAAATATATAAACTAAGTGTATAAAAAATGAAAGGACCACCTCCACCTTTAAGTATTGGTCACAAAATTTTCTGCAAGATTTCGATTGAAAAATATAAAAACCTATAATTTCACGATATGTTAAAGTAATAAAATATAGCAGATTGAAATCTACTGAAGATGGGCGGCAATATACAATGGCAGCAAAAAAGAAAAAAAAAAGAAAAAAAACATAGTAGTTTGAACGCATTTTTTATCGGAATGTAAAGGCAATTTTTTTATAATTTGCACATCAATTTCAGTGTTTATTTAATTACATTACATTTTTCCTATTTTCGTTTTCTTACGGAATTTTTTTCTAGCTTGGGGTTAATTGAAAAGGTATACATTTTTACATGGAAAAAATAATAGAAACAAAATATAGTCATATAACGCATTGCCCGTATTTTACTATAAACATTAACATTATTTTAATGTGCATTATTTAAGGATATATTTTCATATTTCTAATTTGGACAAACCATGTTTTAAGAAATAATTATTCATTCCTAGAAGTTCTAGCCAAACCGGATACATTTGGAAAATTGATATTGGGTGTCATTGGTTTTCCAAAATTGTACCTATAAAAATTGTACCTATAAAAATTGTACCTATAAAAATTGTACCTATAAAATTACCTATAAAAATTGCAAAAGCGCCGTAGAAAACAATTCTGACTGTTAGAAATATAGAAAGTAGTAGTAAACAAAATATGTTATTAAATATGCCTTCAAATAGATTTGCTAATTATAAAATTGCCATTTTCCATTCCGACTACCATAATAAGTTTGTTTCTGTTGGCACTGTATACTCTGTTGTCCAAAACTAAAGCAACGGAAATTGCAAATTGAATAAATGACCTATAACTGTTGTAAAACTACACTTATTCTGAAAGTTTTTTTTAGAAATAAATAAATAATTTATTTACTTTTAAAAAACAAAAAATTCAATGCAAAATTTATTTTGAAAAAAAACTAAATGTACTCAATTTTTGCTTGTCCAAAACTAAATCAACTTTTTTCTTTTAAATAAGTCAATTTTGTTAGTAATTTACAGCGTAACAATTATTTTTGATTACGGCAGCACGCCTACGAGGCAATGAATCTATAAGAAACACAATTTTTCCTTGGATATACTATTCCTCGCATACTGAACCTAAAGGAAGAGCTTGTGTTTGTTAGTCTCTGAATCCGTTTTCCATTTTTTATTCCCGCAACTAATCTTTGACTTGTTTTGGTATATGTTTGGAGGTTATTGTCAAGCTAAAATATCCAAACAAGGGTATATTTTCTTCATTGAGGGGAACCATAGCGTTTTCCAACACATTTGCATAAACAATCCGATCTATTACTTCATAAATATATCGAGCTCCATAAAAAGAAGACAGAAAACAACCCAATATTTATTTTATTTATGCAATTCATTCTATAATACTAATGCCTTAGAGGCCAATAAATAGTATTATCAATCATAATATTCCAAGTAGAACTTATAAATATAAACTATAAACTAATTTCATATAATATAATATAATATAATATAATATAATATAATATAATATAATATAATATAATATAATATAATATAATATAATATAATATAATATAATATAATATAATATAATTGGCTCCCCAGCCATAACAAAAAAATTCTCAGCTAAATAGATGCAAGTACTGACCACGATAGCAACAAATATAAACCAGATTTTGTTAACGAAGCAAAACATACTTAGAATATATATTGAATATTAAGTGATTTAAAAGAAGAAAAAATTATGAATGATGAAAATATTCATCATTGAATAATCACCGCTGAAGTTTAAAGTAGTTCATTAGTTTTACTCTGAAAGAATTATTGGAGTGTGAAAAAAGTCTCAGTTCCACAGGTAAATAATTCCATATCCTTGCAACACGCATTAAAAATGATTTCTCAAAAGAAGAGTAAAATATCCTAGGTATATAAATTAGTGTACTTCGCGACGAAGATATAAAGCCAAACATATTTGCTAAGGATAGAGGTACACCATTCTTGATTATCTTATAGAAAGTGCATAAAAAAATGAAAATGCTCAAAATCAACTCCCAATAATGTTTCAACATAACCTAAACACACACTAAAAACACATCATCTGCATATATTAGTGGTGTACAGTAACGTCAGAAAAACACTCAGCAATACTGTTAACATAAAGCACAAACAACGGACCCAAAACAGATCCCTGCGGAACACCACATTGAAGCGGGAGTAACATTGAAGATTCTCCATTATAAAAAACAAATTGCGATCTACCACACAAGTAAGATCTAACAAGTTTGCAAGCAGTACCAGAAAAATTGAATTCATTCTTAAGTTTATACACACAACATTTGGTAAGAAATTGAATTAAATGCTTTAGTGAGATCTAAAGAAACCAATACCGTATTCTTATTGGCCGAACTCCATACTTCCCAGTACCCTTCCAGTACTGTGGCTCCAGCCTTTAATTTTTTGACTTTCTAACGGTACTTTTTTCGAGTGTGCTTAAATATTAACTTGAATTAATATTAACTTTAATAACTGAAATAAAAATAACTGAAATTTCAGAGCTCATTTGTCTGTAGAGTTGCTTTAGTTTAGTTCAAGCATACATTGAGACAATTTCAAATTGATTGATTTTTAAAATGATACGGCATTTATTATATTTGCAATTTCAGTTGCTTTAGTTTTGGCCACCAGTGTATTTAAACGTCTATGATAACATTTGGAGCAACAGTATTTGTATTTGCTACAACATTCGAATGTTGATATTTATCATAAATTATACGTCTTATATTAACAGTCAACCCATTTTGGACAAAGGAACGAATGAAAAATATTTGTCATTTAACTTGTATATAAAGTTATACATAATGTATTTGAGATGACAATACTCATTCAGAAAATGTAAAGGATTTTTATGAATTTTATCATATGTAGCTATTTGATCATGTACGGTCATATGTTTCATACAGTACAAATGCAATAGATTCACATAATGTGGTCTTCAATTGTCCCCTCATTCCGTCCAAAAAACTACCCAACTAACCACCTGTGTAAATCAGCGATTGAAACGTTATATCAAAGGATATTTGTCAACGTTTTTATTGTTGTTGGGTGATATTGTTTGCTTTTGGTACTTACTTGTGAACGAATGCTATCAGGTCTGCAGCACGCCCAGATCCATCACAAACCACCACTGGCACGGGCGGTGTATCAGTCACGTATTCGAGAACTGCACGTATCGTATTTGTACCGCCCTCGATAACGAGACAAACGACGGGAGTACTGGAATGTGTAACTGTAACAAGTAAGGAACAAAAAAAAAGATACAGTGATAAGAAGAAGAAGAACACCCATCAGCCAACAGAAACTATCACCATTTTAAGCGATAGAAAAACTATTTAACAATGGTCGTCATCGTCGTCGTAACAACTGAATGTTCGTACACCAAGAATTTGGTGTGCTTTACAACATTTAAACATGTCACAGCAATGTCGAGCATTCCAGGAATGAATTTGTCAGACACTGTTAGATTGGATATGTATTTGCCATGCTTTACAAGCATGGGATGGCGAATAATTGTTCCAAGGGTAGTATGGGGAATAAATTACATGGCAATTTGCAAGCTTGCTCCAGCTGCTGTTGTTGTTCTTGTTCTACTGTCATTTCGTCTGTGTAACCTCTGCATGCTTCTGCGTTGGCCAGGGTATGAGAAATGAATGCATGTTTACAATGCCGGAACATGTTTTCAATGTTGTTAAACGATTTGCATTTCGGTGAAAATGAAAGTTTATTTTTCAATGGGGAGAATGGTTATAAATGAATTTGTAGAATTTTCATAGCCATGGCACAAGTTTCATGTTTTTCTTTTAATTTTGTAACAAATACACATTTAAACTAATTCAATGAAATGCGAACAAAATTCAAAATAACACAATATTAATAGTAGATTATTCCTCTTAATGACAAAACTTCAACTTACAAGGATGCAGTTTCAAATTGGATATAAACTTCTCTAGTTTCCGGCGCAATATCAACTCGGCACCATATTTCGCTTGAGTTCCATTGTCGACAAGCAAAAAGTAAGCATGGCGATTATTAAGGACGGCAAGTTTAGATCTGAAAGAAGGCAGAGAACACACAAAGAAATGTAAGCAAATACTGTTTAAGATTTCATACAGCAATTAAAAGTAACAACAAATTTGAAAAAAAAAACTTTGTAATGATTATTCTGTTTAAGATTTCATACAGCAATTAAAAGTAACAACAAATTTGAAAAAAAAAACTTTGTAATGATTATTCGCTGTCCTTCGATGCTTTGTCCCCTTTTTCAAGAATGTAAACAAACGAATTGAAATTAGCAATTTTGTTTATTTTTTAATTTGGTATTATTGCAGTTTGTTGTTGAAAAACTCTCAGGGGAATGCTTCTATTTCTCTTTCAAAGTTCAACAAAACATAAAGTAAATTCGTTTTAATTGCTCTCCTTATAAATTTGTAGCCATTTTTTGAAGTTAAATTGTGAAACACGGTGTGCGGCATTCGTGAGTATGTTCGTACCCATAAATGCAGTTAATATTCCTAAACAAGAACTCATACAACTATTTTTTTAATGTTATCGAGAACCCTGAAATCGTAGGGAACTGGGAAGTAAATTATTTATAAGCCTGCTAGAAAATTGCGATACTTATGCAGGGGGTTTATTGGAGTGATGAGGTTCGCAGTTCTTTTGTCCTGGCGCTATATAGTTTACCGCAGATTCTCCATTGTCATATTAATGTTTACAAATTTGTGGTCCAATATACCGTCCAAATAGTGCAGAATACAATTCTAATTTAATTCAATATCTTCATTAGTAGATATTGAAAACAACATTCCAGCATCTATTAAAGTTTTCTAAAGTTTTGGGTGAGACAAAACAATCTATATTTTGACATTCTGGAGATTCGGATTCTACACTTCCATTTTATATACCAAAAACCAATGAGTGGAGTGGACGGGACCGACCACAATTACCACGAAAATCTAACTTTCTGCGTCAACAGCTCCACTTTCTAACACTGGCATATTTTCAAAATCTTGTATTCCCGAAGCGAATATTTACGCCATAAAATAAAAGTTTAGCCGCTTTATGTTTTGGTTGTGTTCAAACTCAGTATATCGACCGGTCATCATCTAAACAGCCGTTCCAAGTATTTGGTCAGATCCCCTTCAGGGCCACTAGAAAATCTGTCAAAAATAAAGTATTCGGTTCCTTAAATATCATCTCAACATAACCGCAACTTCATGTACAATTTCAAAGGGATCAGCGCGACATTTCCGCCATCTAGTGGGGTAATAGTAATACTAAATAATATCATAACACATAAAAAACTTTAAATATTTACGTATAACTCCCACATCCGAATACATACAACAACATAGTTGGTATCAATTAAAAGGTCCAGCACTCATATTGGATACACTATCAACTTCTCGAGTCTCTGTCCTTCGGGAATAAATATAAACGACCCATAATACAAATTTCGTAAATTATCACCCAAAAATCTGGGTCCATTTGACCCATTTTGACCGAACTTCATCAAATGCTTATTCTTTGGCCAGATTTCCTACCTGATGTAAAATTTCGAGTAAATTTAAATTTTCGGGTCATATATGACACGAGCACCATCACAAATATAATTGTGACCTCTAGTTCGGCCAGAAAAACCGACAAATATCATATTTTTGGTCCATTTCATCCATTAAATATTAACGGATCATTACAATAGGGGTCTTCATTGGCCAGAACCCATCTTACATGGAAAATTTCGTGACGATTGGTCCATAACGGTGACCTGTATCGTGTTTACAATGTTATAATGGACAGGCGGACGGGCGGACACACATGTCTAGATTGACTCAGCTAATCGAGATAAAAAGGTGGGGCTAGAACCAATATTTCGCGGCATTACCAACTCATGGGGCAGCACAAATCTATTATACCCTGACAACATAGTTGTGTAAGGTATAAAACTCATTGAAACACCCAATTGTATTTATTTCAAAATACTGTGTAGAATTTGTTAACTGGCCAAAACAATTTTAAACTAGTATTCGACCACTCTAATGGAAAATAAATAGACTGACAAAAACAATGTCAATTCTCTTGGGGGTTCTTGCTTACCTTGGTGAACTGATGCTGTGGCAGGGAACTTCACGATTGTGACCCAACAGTTCATGGTTACGTTCAACAATACCCCACGGTGCTATACCAATGCTAACAACACGTCCGGTACGTTGTTGACCTTCCAGGAGTAGAGCATCACCGACTTGTTTGGTTACACCTGTAAAGACAAAAAAGAACAAATAATGTAGTTGGTATATAACGGAAGGAAGACAGGAAGGAAATAGACAAAAAAGAAGGACATCAAGTAAATGCAAAACATTAACATATTTAAATAGAATATCAAATGTAATGACATATTGTTACAGTGCCATGACATTTTTACATGAACACCTACACACAGCCACACACAACTGGAGCTTGTCATAATTCTTTAAACACCCACACACACCAATAATGCAATTGGTTTGGGGTTCAATATTAAAACATCATAAACATGTCAGGAGTATCCGTTTCCGAAGTATCCGTTCACACAACAACAACCCAACAAACCAAAAGTATTGAGAATAATATTATATTAAGCTTACCACAAAACAAGCTTGAAAAACTTGAGATAATCTTGAGAAATGTTTATTAATAATTGTGTATACCTATATAATTACTTGTGTAATATTTTCTTATTCTTGCAATTGTGTGCCTGTGTGTGTGTGCAATAGTTTATACAGACAATTTACATTGTGTGCCTGTGTGTGTGTGCAATAAAATACAATATTCGCAGGAGAGCACGTTTTTAGGATAAAATATGTAAATTCATCAAAATCCAGTTTTTTCCCGTTTCAATGAAAAACTTGAGCTGTGTGAATGTAGGTGTGTGTACAAAAAATAAATACGATCAATGGGTAAATATTTACAATGCTATTAAATATTACCTGTATTGGTGCCACCCGTGAAAATCCATGCTCCTGTGGTTTTGGCTGCTTTCAATAAACCTTTACGAATTTCCTAAAATGGGAAATGGAAATCAACATCGGTTTTAATTCAATGAAACTCAATACAGTTAATGGCATAGAGTTTTAAATAGATTCAAATGGAAAGCAAAAAATACTTTTAATGTTAATGGCAGAAAGCAACTCATTTGGGCGAATCTGTGGTATGGTCGTAGTTACAATTAAGGTTTTAGTTTTTAAGGAATCAATTGAAATATAGCGATGCAAGAGAAAATTCACAAAAACATGCGTTTACACTTTAAACAACATACATACATACCTTTTTCAACTTTGGCTGTAACTCAAAATTCGCCTTTCCACCTTGTACTGTTATCAGGAGTTTGGGCAATTCCAAATTCCATTCTTTGGTAAATAGCTGCACCAATAATTCGGGACGGGTATCGAATGAAAGACGTACATACTGCAAAAAATATCACAAAGAAAATGAATATAAAAAGAATGTATTTAATTGTTAACAAAGCCTTATGAAAATTGAATTTTAAGGCAACCACATCCATAAGATATAGTAATGAAAAAGAAAAACGTTATCAGGGAATACGGAACATTGACTTTGAATTGAAGAAAAATCCTTTATTTGTCGTACTTATAACTTTCGTTTTTTTTCTTCGTCTATAAAAATAGACAACGACAATGATGCTTATGACATTCTCTGGGAAATTCAATGAAATACCCCCAAAGGAAAAACACAAACAAGAAAATGGAAAAATATTGACGAGTTTTCTTTTTCGTTGGTATTCTTAGGGTTATGAAAATATTTTTCAATAGTCCATTAAAAACAAACCTGAGCTTTTGTGGGATGAGCACCACCTTGAAATTCAATGGTACCATAAGCATCGGTGGGCTGGGCCCTTGTATGCTTATGCGGTAGCCATAAGTCACCGGGCGATCCACTTTCGATGCCAGCGATGGTTTGATGGGTTACTCGAGCTTGGCCGCAGCAACATCTGTAAATAAATGTAAAACATGAAAGGTGGGGATGTTAATAAGTAGACAAAATGCACAGGGTTTGTAAAACTGAAAACATAGGATATCCACATTTGGAATACAGACATAATGTGTTGACATTCAACTTATTATATTAAAAACAGTGTTTTTCAGATGTTTTTTTATAAAAATATCAACAATCTATTTAAGCATTTTCAAGAGTTATTTTATTTTTATAGATAAGTAAAAATGTATATTGTTTACATTCGAGTTTTTCGTTATACCCTCAGTCTTATGGCTAATGAGGGTATATGGGAAATTACAAAAATCTTTTAAATTCCTTGAAACTGAGGTTTGCAAGGTTATAACTCGTGAAATATTAACATATTACATATAATTTAAATTCATTTCTATAAAATGAAGTGTTCTTGTCAAAATCTTAAAATATTGGTAATAAATAGTAAGTTGGGTGGAAGCTGTGATGGTGGTAATGTAAAAACATGGATGAAAATGTGTTGAAGCCAACGAGTTTTTTTGTGTTCCTTCCTGATTTGTGGCTAAACTACACAACGCACGCACTTGTGATCAGTGACTGAGTTGCAGAATACCCCATGGACAATATGGTTCTAAGGTATGATTTTTTTATATAATCACTGCATCCACCCAAAACGGATGCTGGCATTTTGAAGCCGGATTTTCGGTGTTTTTTGAATTTTTCTTATAATTAGGATGCGCGTTCAGATAATGGACTAAACTTATTATAGGATTGTAGAACTCGTGATTTTGCTTCGTTTTGTGTATATCTCATGAATGTTCTCACCGTAGCTTCTTTGCAATTGGGTTCCAAAGACGAAAATTTGATGCGTAAATTTTTATAAAAAACATATTTTTCGAGTTTAAAATGAAGAAAGTCCATTCAAATTCCGTGGAACCCCGCGTGATTTTAGTTTTTTTACGTGCCGGATCTAATGAGCCTATCCATGTTCAATTCCGCCAATAAAACGGCGGATATAGGTACCTTGAATGTGGGAAAAACAGCAAAAACGTATTTTGACAAATTCGCGTATATAATCGCGTGTTTCTTCTAATTGATTTCACATACAATCATTCTTGTGATATCATATTCGCGAATCTGTGTGAAAATAGGTCAAAAATATATCGATACGCGAATAATATGTGTATTTTATCCAAAATCGATTGTGGAGGCACATCCGCGGTTCTTAACCGATCCTTTTAAAATAGGTGTCCTTTTGTGTATTTTCGTAGGAGATTACTAAAACCTGATGCGCATAAAAATCTTATGCACTTTGCGCCATTTATAGCCATTTTTAGGATTTTTGCATAGTCAAGTGCATCGTTTTGCCCGCGAAATGAAACATTGAAAAATGCATAATTATTGGAAGAGATTGATTCGGTATATACGAAAACCGCATGCGCATCAATTGATTTCAAGGAATACGCGAACTGCATGCTTTTTAATGTTGATCATTTCATATACAGTACCTGCAATATATTAGGTCAATTTTTAAGTCGAAACTCTTATAAGATAAATCTGCCAATATTTAACAATCGCCTAAAGGAATTTGAAGAAAGAATTTAAAACCGCTATAACTAAATTTTATCTATGAATCTAAACACATCTTACTTAAAGATCGATTTCAAATAACTGTTGGAATTCGTCCTTACAAAAAAAAAAAAAACGATTAAATACTTACAATGACACTGCGTAAACATGTTCACCCATCTACATTCGATCTACGACTGTAAATGCTAGCCAAAGTTGTTGACGCTATTAGAAAAGAAGATTGTCCTATAAAGAATTGGTTGCAGGTCGGAGATTCAAAGGTACACTCTCTTCTCTACTATAATTCAACATTAACCTCGAATAATCTCGCCTAAAACCTATTTAATCTATTTTCTGTGAAATATGAAATTCAATATTAAATTTAACACTTTATTCATAAGATATCATCGAGATCATATCAAATTGAAGGATATCTTAGTTCACAGCCATGTGTTGCACATCTAGACAGCTTTCGTAAAAAACAGATACCCATTCCTAAAGGTAGACGACAATACGTGAGCATAATATTGAGTGTTACACTGCGAAGCTATGTGTCAACCACACATGCTATGTACAGTGAAACCCCTAGATAATTCTAGAATCCAAATGAATATTCGTGATGTCCCGATTTAATATATTCGCATAAAAATATATCTAAGGAATCATAGTCGGTAAGTTTATGGCCATTTCTGAATAGTAGTATGTTAAAGGATTCGGGAGGTAACAGGTTTGACTGTATGTGAGACCAATCATTGACATATTCACAGCTGAATTCTTTGTATCAGAGGGAAGTATAAGTATCATAAATGCCATGTGGGAATTTTTAAATTGTTTTTGCTATCCTTGAATGCTTTAACATTAGGGAAGGACAAAAATGGTACGTTAACACCTTCACAATATTTCATTTTATCAGAAGTAGATATTTCTGATTATGGTGTGTTGAAATTTGAATTTTTAATAATATCTTAAAATATGGTTGCTTTGAACAAAATGGTTTTATATTGGTTCCGGAAATACCTACCAATCTCCAATGTCTGGAGATGATGGGACTTTCTTGGCTTTGACTAAGGGAATAGTCATGACTCTACAATTTTCATAAATATTTTCTTTTCTTATTAATATCTCCCCGTTCATCAGGCATAATAATGTAAATTATCGAAATGAATTTAGATTTAGATTCTCCACTCCGATTGAGAAAAATCTATAAAATTTTATTTGAACAGTTCAACAGCATTTTCTTGTAACTAAAATGGCTGACCACCCATTTTTATTGATTTTAACTTCAATACCATATATTTAAATTCACAGATATTTTAAAAATAGTTTCATTAGTGTCAAAAGCAATTGAGTGCAAAAATATTTAAACATTTACAAATTCATTTCACAGTAATTAAATTAGAAATAACTAGTCAATATCATTATTGATGTCCTACTACAGTGTCATAACCAAAACACGATTTTGTACGAAATGTATTTGAAAAACTCAATAGAAACATTGACGTTTCAAGAATAGGACAATCAACATGAAGCTTTAACAAAATAATGAAAATTTTTAAATTCTGAGAATAATTTGTGTTGGTCAATGAAGGTAATTTTAACATTGTTATTTCTTTGCCTCAAAAAATTTTAAACCAATTTTAAAAAATACTAAAATTTTAAAAAACAAATGCATACGTATACGTAGGAATAAATCTTTAATATTAAAACACTGGATTAATTTCTTAAATTAAATTCAAAGCCAAAAAACAATGTTGTAAAATCGAGATATTTAAGATTGCATCCTTTTATAGTCGCACTTTCTTTTTATTTGCTTACTTCATAAACACTGAGACAATTTGTTATTTCCCTCCATATTTTTTGTAGGTCGTTTACAGCAGATATCCACACTCCCTTGGTGTCAATTATGCTGCTGTTTAATAAATCCTTGACATTTAATGGTTATCTCTTTTTTACATCCTCTACGGCCGTTTGTAGCTACCACACATACATTGTCAAACGCGAAGACGAACCTAAGATGTTGTTCAAATGCCGCAAATATGGCTGGGTAAAAGTTTATCAAAACATCTGTGGTTTACGACCTAACTGGGTGCATAAAATCACAGTAAATCAAAAATATTCACATTAAATGTTGGAAGATTGAAAATAGCTAAAGTATTATTCAGTGTTACGACTCGGCATAATTTCGTTCGAAAAATCTTCATGTAATGTTAGATGCGTACAGAAGAAAAAATATAAGTATTGGATGGAAAATAATGTTACCGATCAATTGTTAATAAATATTTTTGTAGATTTTTTCTTTAAATACTCGATTTTTATTTCAAAGGAAAGGGAAATAGAATAGGTAGAAAAAGATAAAGACGACCTATTCAATAAAAATTTTAATTCGCCAATAATTCTCTCAAAATCGGCTCAGACAATAAAATGTGTGTGTGTTTTTATTGAAGTTTTAAAAAATAACACCCATTTCCGTAAATGACCTTATTTTGTGCAGCTACGATGGTGGTCATATTGAAGTACCCCGGTTTTTTGTAGTTTATGAATGCCTATAATTGTTCAAAATATTTAGTGGATTTTATTTTCATGTATGGTCCGACCATCTTTTAATAAAAATAACTTATATTGCGAAATATTACATTTTCTTTCTGGTATATAACAAAAAGCCGATTTTTTAAAATCTCGTGGGCTAAATATGATAGATTTTCCTTTTTTTGCTATTATATTTGTAAACATATCTGTTATATATGTAACAAATATAAGCTATTTTAAATTGTCAGTTTGCGTTTAACGGATAAAAAGTGCGGGTTTTAATGTAGAGTAACTTCGGGGAATGGGGACTATGCGTCTAATGTGGACCACCCCCCATATCTAAGAAAATGCTTGAAATATGTCAATGCAGCCTTGATAAATGTTTTACTAATTTGTGAAAACAAACACCAAACTTGGTTTTTAATAAATAATTGGAATGTTGAAAATGTAACTCTGATTGTAAAAGTGTGATTTGAACTTTTTTTAGCACAATAGTTGAACGTTTTTGCAAAATAGTCGAACACTTTGTTTTTCTCGAATATAAAGAAGTTATGTGGTTAACTTGTTTCCTTTAACAAAAACATATGTTTAGCTGTAATTACAATCGGTGATTTTTAATTTTTATTCATTTTTAAAGCCGATAATTATTTTTAAAGAAAAATATTCAACGTCGGGTAATGTGGACCACTACAAAAAAGTGGGACCTTTTCATGAGGACGAGTTCGAAACATGGGCGCATTTAATATGTGAGGAGGAATTCTATCCTTTGAAAACTCGATATGCGAAATTACAGGTGCTTCGGTCGGATAATGAAGCAATAACCTTCAAAATACCGCAAATGGGGCGGTACCCTTAAATGGGGGCTATTCCAAAACATAAACCCATATATTTTTGCATTCATTGTTACCCAGAGTACAATAAATTGAAATTTATCACAACCAATCCACAACCTACCTTTAACTTACTGATCCTCATTACCACACACATACTGGTCCACATTACCCGCCAATTTATTTTTATTTGCAGTTTAGAGTTTTTTGAAATAGAATGCAACAAAATTTTTATAGACAAATATATATAATGTTTGACCTGGAATATATTTAGCCAACAAATCTACTATGTTGTGAAAACAATTTGTTTTTAGTTTTTGCCGTTGTTACGCCATTATTACGCCCACAATATCAGAATAAGAAAATTGTGGTCCACATTACCCGAAGTTTCTCCAAAAATATGTAATATCCTCTAAATTGATTGTAATTTAGCATTCTGTTTTTTATGGTAAATTTATACAGACAATTTTCTACATAGGTCATATAAAGATACCATCCGATTTGCGTACATTTAAGATTTTAGAAACATTTTTCCCCCAAAGTGGCTGTAGTATGTTTGACAAAAATTTTTGACATAATCCCCATATAAAGATGGACGTGGCCAATTTTCGGTACTTTGAAGTGACTTTAATTTTACCTTTTTCCCGATTTATTCAAGCAATTAAAACGTTGTTAACAGAGGTTTATAATTTGTACATCGCTCCCAGTGTTTCAAACAGGATGTAGTGATTTTTCATTTCCCCACATAAGCAACCTACTAGCAGACAATTTACAATGACGTAGTCACTACACGATGTTCCCGACATTTTTAATATATTTTGAATGCACACCACATGTCTTCACCAGCTATAAAAAGTTCGACCCAGCCGAACTTAGCGACGTTTTTACTTGTTTATAATTTTTTTATCTTGATTCCGTACTAGTGACCTAATTTCATGATTAACCCAATTTTTGAGTCTTTTTGTGATATACATATATATCACAAAAACCATAGACATAAGCCATCATTTGATTGTGTGTTAAATGTCATATAGTGATGACTACGGATTATTTAAGGTGTGAAAATATCAACAAAAAACATCGATCGCAAAAAAACTCAGATATTCTTTCTCGCTCTCACCCACTTGATTTCACTACTACAGCGACAAATCTCCTATTGTTTATCTCAACTGTTTAGATTCTCTAAAAACTAGATAAAATGGTATATGTTTGACGTATTTGTTTAAATTGGTTTACTACCATTTTATCTGACTCACATCCAGAACGAACCAGGCATTCCAGGGAAGATTGTGTTGTTCTTATCATTTCCGTGGCATGTTTGCAGGGTTAGTGGTGGTGTTATCTCGAACGGTCTGCCATAATTATCAGCATCTGGGTCCTGTTTACTTTACCCAGTGACCTAATTTATATTTAGCCATCAACAGTGAAAAGAGTGGATAAATACACAAACCAAAAAAAAAAAAAAAAACTTAAAGACGGAAAATAATATTTGGACATACGTCATTCCGACTTATTAGATTTATGGTTATGACGATTCTTCCTTATCACATCATGATCTTTGGCTCACATGTTCAACACAAATTGAAATCAATTTAACAATAAATGAAAATATTGCTGACAAATTTCAAACAAATAAAAGTTAATTTGGGTACTCAATAAAAATAGTATTTTTTAAATAAATAATCGGATGTTTATTCTATAATGTAGGACGTTATGATGTCCATAATGAAGAATAATATCAGTCAAATAGCGACTGCGAGCACACTTACAAAACCATATCCTTATGTCAGCCTCACGAATTATTGAATTTATTCATTCAATTCCCGAGATTTTTTTCGTGTAAACACGTAGTAGACATATTCTTGAAAACACTTAAGTAACGTTGACAACATTATTCTCCATCTGTAGAGAGGTGCCAGAACTTGCCCTATAGGCCACATCTCCAAATTTAATGTTGGTTTGGTAAAATATTACGATGTGTAAACAATCAGTTATTTAATTATCTTCAAATTACATTTAGGGGGGAGTGGCCCAACGGCTAACGTAATCATATTACAATGTGATATATAAAACCAGTAAGGAAAGTAGTAAAGTCGGACGGGGCCGACTATATGATACCCTTCACCACTTTGGGTATATTCAACAGAGGAATCCTAACAGACGTCGCAGTTTTGAAGGAACATTGACAAGAAATTGAACGAACTTAAATATGTGATCTGTATATATATCTAAAACGACTCACATCAATCTCTACACATGTCATTCTGCAACCTATGCTAAATTTTGTAAATCGATTTAAAGCAAACTTGACACACGCTATTCGGTATGCTGCACTGTTCAAAATTTAATCTCAATCAAACACCCATTGATTATTTAGTGTACAATAAACATGAATAAGTCGAAATTATATATATATATATATATATACATATATATATATACATATATATATATATATATATGGGAGCTATATCTAAATCTGAACCGATTTTTCCCAATAGGGTTCGTCCTTGGGCCAAACCAATGGGCTGTGCCAAATTTCATCCAATTCGGATCATAAATGCGACCTGTACTTTGCTCACAAAAATACATGGACGGACGGACAGACGGACATGCATAAATCGACTTAGAATGTGATTCTATGCATATTCTCAAAAGGAACCATGGGTCTATCTCGATTCATTTTGCCTGTTACCACGGTATGGTGAAGGGTATAATGAGATTTTTTTTATTGACCCTATGTGGAGGATCTAATAAAGAAGTGGACCGATAAGTCCTAACTCAAACTTGTATAATGTTTGACGAAACATTTCCGTAAATTATAAGGTTGTGCAAAGTTTTCTTTAAATAGGATGCTCTGTTCGCATGATAGTCTAAAATTAATTTTCAACACAATTTTGATCATATTGTGGGGGAGGTACTAAAAGGAATGCCTCAGCAAAGTGTATATAACTTCATTAGTCATAGGGGTATAAAAACAAACCTAACTTTAAGCGACGATTTTTTTAATATTTTATTGATGTCTAATTTTAGACGTGGAGGTTTAACAATTTTTATATATTGTAAAAACATCTATTTTATTCAATTTTTTTTATTTAATATAAGCCGAGTCTATTGTTAGACTCTTATATTAACAATAATAACAATTATAATAACAATTTAAAAACCTACCTTTAAATAATGTTAACTCTTTCATAGATATGATTTCTTTTTAATTTTTTTTAATCCCAGATATATATTTAAAAACATATTTGAAGTAATTTTATCTTTAAAATAGTACATTTTAGTTGTTTCTTTATGAATAATACTTTATATGAATAATATTGTGATGACAGCTGCCAATCTCTTTAAGCCACAATCAATCTTTATACTATCATTCGTAGAGAAAGCAAAATCTAATGCAATCTGTTTGTAATTTCTTACAGCAAGTTCGTCAACATAACTTCTAAAAAATATTTCTCGAAGCTAACTTTCGATTAGAGTGATTTATATATCACATATTTTTAATGTATGCTTTTTGTATCATTTCAATTTCATTTTAGTAAAATCCATTTTATCTTCAAACTTAAAATTCAGCAAAGTATATATATTAAGCTTAATATTTCATTTTCCACAAAAATTATAAATTAATACTCCAAACAAAAATTTAACTGCACTTTAATATACAATAGTAAAAATGTTTGTTCTAAATTGTTCACTTACCTCGTTTCATCTTTCGGGCATGGTATAAATTTGATACATTCACGTTTCTGAAAATTTGTCTCAATCCAACTTCGAGGTTGATGCTGCTAACCATAATGTTTGTACCCAATTAGGTATGGCGGGATTTTATGGAAAAAAGATAAAAGAAATAAATCATAAACATTTATGAGAATGCATATTACAATGTGTCTGTTTGTGTTAAAAGCCTAAATCAATTAAAAAATAAATATTGATATTTTGTTTTTTTTATAAAATTTTTATTCTATACTATTAATATTGTTTATACATCACTTTGGCATAAGCACACGCTTCAAGAAACACATCAAACAATGGTCCAGAAAATTAAAAACAAAAATATTAAAATAAAACTACAAACTGAGTTATTGCTTTTTTTAATTAATTGTTGACAGAAATCAAATAAAATTACAACAACAAAAAACACAAGAACTAAATCAACTGAAAAAAGCTTAAATATTTAATTACAGAAAAAATTAAATCATATATTTTTTATTTTATTTTTACAATATATAACACAACACTATTTACACAACAACAATTCAATTTCGTTATTTACGTATTAAAATATGTTTTTTTTTTTTGTTAATTTTTGGTTTGTAAATATTGGCATATATTTTTGCTGGTGGAAATAAATGCACATTAAACTCTACTTTTGTTTTCTCGGCCAATGGCTCAACGATGCATGGATGGAAATATGTGTTAATTTGGGGAAATGACCACACTAAAAACCTTCCATGCCACAATGGGTAATGAATGAAAAATGCTACAGCGTTATTAAATACGGAAATACATATCTACAAATTGCCATTTACGGTTTCGCAGTATTTGCTTTGGAAAGCTAATAATTTTAGTATGTGTGCGATTTTGGTGCAAATCTATAAAAAAAAATCTGCTAATTACTTACATAATTCCTTTCCTCATATTTTTACATAAACAATTTTTTATGTGACAAAATGAAATTAAACAAAAAAATCAATAATAATATAATTTGTTTTTGCAAAATTGAGATTTATGTATCAATATACGTGGTTTACATTTAATAATTATAACCCATTTTACGGTTTTATAATAGCGTATTTTAAATATATTTATTCCGAAAATAGAAACAGTTTTATTATTTATCTGAACGAGAACAAGATCTACTTTCCAAGAAAATAGTTTCGGTATCTATTTCTCTGTTGATCTTTGGAGAATATTAAGATATTAAGCCAGATAAGACAAAAGCAAAGGTGGACAACACCGACGTTATTATCACAGGTTATAAATCATGGATCAATAGGCATGGGTCCAAAACAAAACAGTAATCAATCCAACAACAATTTTTCTTTTAAGAAGCACTTTGAAACTATAGTCGCGACCATTTCCTTGAACACCGTTTTTAGCCGGAATTCTTCGGAAAAAAATGTATACCTGGAGGGTATATACATTTTGCTTTTCCGTTTGTAAATCATTGAAATAATCGTATTCTTCATCAACGTAAAATTCGTTTAGGCATAGGCCTAAACGGGTACTATATGGGTACTCCCAAATTTCGGAATTTTGGGGTTCTTATTGGATAATAAATTTCTCAACTAAAAATTATAAATATATGTCCACTTTTTCTGGTAGCCCCATTATAACGGCACCCCCTTTTTGCATTTTTGGGTTCTTGAGCGCATTTTTCAACCGAATTCGCTGTAATTTGCCACATTTGAGTTCTTATTAAGTAGCAAATCTCTCCACCAAAAATGATTAATATAGGTCCATTTTTTCGTGTAGCGCCTATATAACCGCCCATTCACCCGAATACACTGTAATTTGGTATTTTGTAGTATTATAAAAAAAGTCGTAAATAATAAAAATTATAATTATTCGCCAAATCAGTTAACTATTTTAAGATAAGAAAATAAAGACTTTTTTGTATTAAAATAATTAACTTATTTGTTCCGCGTTTTGGGATTGTCCCCATATATCCCCATTCCAACAAAGTATTGAATTCTATGATGATTTAGCCATCTGTTGTAAGCATTCTACCTTCGGAGGATATCGAGATAAAAAACTAGAACGTCAGGTTCGATGATGAATAAGCCTCCGTGCCTACCGATGTTCGCTATTTTTAATGTTTAGCGTGAAGGAGTGTATTTGAGTTCGAAATTGAGCTATATCGGTCCTCAATTAATAACTACAATTGTTCGGTATTTCCTACACGATGTAACTATAATCTCAAGGGACGTACCTCACCGTCCGAAATCCTGTGTACGTTGGTAATGGCCGCACATAAATTACAGTATTTTGAGGATTTTATACACATGTTCCTCAATATCAGTCTACGTTTAGGAGTTTTGAGAATTCAGGAAAAATCTCAATTTAAAATTGCTGAAAAATTCTTCTGCGCAAGATTTGTGTAGTATATTTGTATGTGAAAAAATCTTGCCTTGTCGTATTTAGGACTCCAAATAAAAGGAAAATATATTATACAAAAAAAGAAGATTTGACTGAAGAACCACCATCTCAAAAAAAAAAACGCAATACCCCCAAACAACGAATAAAAAATGTTTTTTTATGAAAAAATTCATTACAATTTCATTCGAAACTTGATCTATGCCGAATTTATCCTTCTTGGTTCTACATATACTTGCCAAGGGCTTTCAAATATGTGGTTCAGCATTTAAGGTCAATACGAGTCAAGCAAATGTTAAACATTGAAAAAAATCAATATGAAAAATAAACGACCATCATATTTTTTCATAAGTAGTTACATATATGAATGCATATTAATATCCCAATATATATTGCAGAAGTAAAGCAACTTATTATAGATATTTGATATTGACCATGTGATAACTCGAATATATCGACAAACTTACATTTTTGTTTGCAAGTATGAATTATGAACGGTACCATATTTGCATTTAATACATAAATTGTGAAATGAGTGAGAACCAATCATGAAAAACTGATTATGTCCCCAATTAAGAAAAAGTCAATAGCCTATTCAATATTATCGCAGTTTGCGTTGAGTACAAGAAAACTGTTTGAAGGATCATTGACATTTTTACTGAATTAACAGAATGACGATTATCACAAAGAAGAGACATGCCTATTCATCAAATTTTCTATGTTAGTTGATTTGTCTGAAAAGTTTCGGCAACATCTTTGTTTCTACAGATAATAATCTGATGTACGATAGACGATAATTAAATTCAGTTAATTTAAAGGCTTGTTCTTCTACGAAATATCAAAGTTTTGTACAATATTAAACACATCCACCCTAAAGCTATTTCTTCGTTAAGTTTCCATTTGAGAAAACGCACGCACACACACACCGACACCGCCTGGCAAGCGCCTTTTGCATGGATAAACAATAACTTTTAAAAGTTTAACAACAATAACAAAATTTAGTTTTAATGAAATTGTATCATTATCTGAGACTTGATTGCAACAGCTGCAAGGAGAAATCGAATATCGAGTAGATCGAGTCATCACTAAATGAATGGAGGTTTCGTTGCAACAAGAAAAAAAAAACAATAGCAATAACAACTTGTTGTTAACTTCTATTAAACTTTGACTCGAACATGCGAAAATGTTTATTAGAGTTACGTTGTTAAGTTTTTTTATTTCTCAGCAGTATTTAACATTTGCTCGGTGCGGTGGTGTCAGTATATCATCTGTATGTTTGTTTGTGTGAAGAAACGTGTATGTGTGTGTGTGGGTGTTTAAACGGTGAGAACAATTTTATCACCTAAAGCTGATAAAAACGACTTGCAGCAGCACAAAGGCGCAAAATTGTAATGAAGACAAAGCGTAATAGTTCGGGTTTCGGTGAGAAAGACAATAAGAATTATCGGACATAAGGTTGTCCTGCAATAAACAAATTAATAAAAGAAACTTTTATATGTCCTCGAACTCAGCAAGAAAAAGTTATGGCTTATATATAGGAGATTGTTGACCCAATACCGAGATGGAGAATAACAAAATATTATATCTCATCTCGAAAACCCTTATATTGTCAATGGCCATAAATGAGTTATTATAAACCGTTTTCTTTAATAATATATAAGGTGAATGACTGAAATAAAAAACTGATGTGCGCTATAACAAGATTAGGCGAAATGAGGTATGAAATATTCCAGTCACTTCTTTGGGAAATCCGTAAGCGGCTTCCATCCGCTTTATGGGGGCTATTGCAAAACATGGACCTATAACGATCACTTAATACAAATTCTTTAAAATGCTTACGACACAGAATGATCAACAATATATACGTTTTGGGGACACCGAAGAATAATTCTATGTGTTGCAAACGGAATGACAAATTTCATATACGTTTCAATTTATGTTGAAAAGTATAAAAACGATGATGAAGCTCTGACATGCCTATTACAAAAATAGTTTTGTACAGTAAAATAATCTCTACTCTTATTAGCAGAGAAGAATATTGTAAAACAATTTTTAAAATAATATCAAGGACTCATTTCGAAATTTATGAAACTCATTAATTTTAAAATAATTTACATTTATGGAGGAGGTATCAGAACGAATAGAATTAAAACAATCCCACTTTGGACTAAATTTATGTTTCGTTCTTTATTTAAGGTAAATATATTACTATGTCAAAGTTTCGATCATAAAATATACTCCTTTCGCATGATACTTAATTTTCAATATCGATCCTTTGGCGGTTGAACATTTTCATTTAAATCAAAAGATTTACACTTTTATTAACCATAAGACTGATGGTATTATGGTTACAGTATTTCAAATAATATACATAATATGATTTTTTTTTATTATAGATTTGTTTAACATTGTTAATATAGGTTTGATACTCGTTAAGATAATACTCAATAATACAAAATGGACAACATTTATTGCACCGTTGGACCCATGAAACACTTTTTCAAAATTATCACTAATCCATTTTAAAATCCAAAATACTATACTAGCCTTAAATGTACTGACATCGATGTTTAAAGGTTTCACAGTCCTTCAAACTAATTCTTAAACTCCATTAAAAAGTCAATAAAAATAACTAGTAAATTTCTATTACAACCCAATAAATACGCAAACCACAAATTCATTATCT